TGGGGCTTTATTAACAAATTTCATTGATATTAGGTACTAAGCCTATTTTTCGAATCTCTTCATGAATTTTATGGAACTCTTTTTTTCATCTATTTATCCACACCACTGTCCCTAAATGATAATTATCACCCGTTTCCTTTGAAGTACAACAATAAGTGGTTCATATTATTTTAGAATTATGTTATTATTTGTCTATTCTTGTAGAGGGTCTCCTTTGTTTTGGATGGGAATTGGTGTTGCGCTTTCGGCACTATTTTCATGGGTAAGAATAGTGATTCAACTCATTGATCTCTTCACAGAATTTTTAGAATACATATTTGTTTCGTAGTTCGTACTAATTTTTTTTTTAAATTTCAATGTTTGGCAGGCAGCTAAGAGCCTAAAGGCAAGTGATTCTCTAACACTTGGGCACATACACCTCCCCTTACTCTACTTTTTGTGGGATTTTACCATGCTTGTTGTGCTTTCTTTTTGTCTTAAGTTCTCTTCCCCGGCCCGCTTCATTTCATTCCTTATGCTTGTGTTGTGTTCATGCAGAACTATGCAATGCAACAAGCTTTCAAGACAATGATGGGACAGATGAACACACAAAATGGTCAATTTAGTACTTCCCCTTTTATGCCCGGATCACCTTTCCCTTTCCCGCCACCTACCTCAGGTCCGGGTGGTGCATTTCCTTCACCCCCTAATACATTGAGCAACGCGACATCATCACCACCTTCATCTGCATCTCAGCCGGTGACCATGGATGTATCTGCCACCAAGTTGGATGATCCTCCTACCCCAGATGTCAAAGATGAAACAAGAGATGCTGAGGATGATGAGCCCCAGAAAACTGGTAGTCTTTCAATCCCTTTAGAGTTTTATAGGGTATGTCTAGAACTCAGAAAATGCCAAGGAAAGAAAATAGAGAGGAAAATACAGTTTTGAATGAAGTAAATGCTAGGGAAATGGAAATGAAATGCCAAGGGAAATAGTTTTTCAATGCTTGGTCTTAACTTGGAAAGTCAAATTTGACCAGATGTGTGTGTGTGTGTTTATATTTTAGAATTAGATAAATAAAATGATTTTAAGGATATATCTTAAATACTCAGCAGATCGTTAGCCATTAATTGTTTCATTTGCGGAACTGCCATAAATCTTGTTTCAGTTCATAAACTTTGATGCTTATTCTTTGTCTTGGAGATAAAGCACATGCATCTTCGTAGCTTTTGTATGTAAATGTTCATATCTAATTAACTCTCTTACTTTCTTGGGCAGCTTTTGTAGACGTGTCGCCTGAAGAGACAATAAAGAAGAATGCTTTTGAAAATTATAGGGACATATCCGTGACAAAACCATCAAACGCTAGCCGAGTGAGTTTTATTATCTTTAAATCTAATTATCTAAAACTAGTTTTTATAACAATAATTTCATAATCACTAAATTGTTTTGGCATCTTGAAAGGAATCTGAGAATCAAAACGCATCATCTTCGAGATTTGGGTCATCTCAAAGTTCTTCATCAGGTGGTAAGTTACACTCCCTTCATCCCATAGAAAGAGTTTATTTTTTGCCCAAAGCTCCTAGAAACAACTTATCTACTACCAAGTAGGTATATTGTCTGTGTACACATTCTCTCCAGACCCTAATTGTGGGATTTTACTGGATTTGTTGTACACAAAGGTACAAAATTTTAAATTTATTCGTTACAACAAAATTTAACACCATCAATTTGTGTAGGATACTTTGTGTATACAAAAGCATTAAATATAATGAAAATTAGCTTCTTCTTGTCAAAATAGAAGTATTGTTTTGAACAAAATGAGTTCTTAAACATCACTCCTTTTTGGGATGCTAGGAAACCACCTCTCTACTACCAAGTAGGGTTACCCGGGACTCTACTATTTGTGGAGTTTTTCTGGGGGTATTGTTGTACTCTTTTTGGGATAAATGTAGTAATTGTCTTCCATGCCTGTTTTTTTTCATATAAACATATACTTATTTTGTATTGTCTTTCTGACCAAAAGACTTGCATAAATTCATAAATGTGTCAGGAAAATCAAATCCTCTGTTTACTGTGGAAGCATTGGAGAAAATGATGGAAGACCCAAATTTGCAGAAGATGGTTTATCCGTAAGATAACACTTATTTTTCATTCTCTTTGTGTATCAAGGGTAAGTTTGGACTTTGGATTTTGGAAAATGCTAGGGGGAAGGAAGACAAGCCCTAAGGAAGTTGTTTTCCAAACAGACCCTAGTACACAGGTCAATCGATTTTAAATGTCTTGTTTTATTTTATTATTGTTTGCAGATACCTTCCAGAAGAGATGAGAAACCCCGACACCTTTAAATGTGAGTTGAAGTTTGCATTGAGTTGGGAAATATTAAGTTGATTTCTTCGTTTAATCAAATATCATTGATTGAATTCCGTTTTTCTTCAACAGGGATGCTGCAAAACCCGTTGTACCGTCAACAATTACAAGACATGTTGTATGTTTTCTATAATTCGCCAACTCTCCAACTTGTACATATTTCTTTTGTTTGAGGCTCATTCACAAACACATTTTTCGTTACTATGCTTCCTCTGTCCCACTTTAATATGTCGCATTTGACTTCTTGTAGACAAAGATTTCAACTTTGACCAATCATATCCAAACAAGTTTATATTTTGAGGTGGCGGGAGCTCAATTAGTTGGTTGGAGCACCAACTCATGTAGCTTCTCTCCCCACCCCCGGTTGTCGATCCAAAAAAAAAAACTATAAGTAATATATAAGATAGAAGTAATGTACAAATGCTCTTTTTAAAGAGTACTCATATTTAAAAAGCACACAATGTCACAATGTATAACTTGACTACCCGGTGTATAGTATATTCCCTTTGTATTTGTCATCATTTGTTTTGGCACATGGAGCAAGGAGACATCAAAAAGTGATGGGAATGATCATTAGTATTTTTGGGTGGGAGAGTTGGAATATTAGGTGAGGGCAAATAAGTCCATGTTATTTTATTCCTTTTCGTTGAATGGAAAATGAACGAATACATTTGGACAACCAAAAAAAGAATACTGAATAAACACAATGGGACACAGAAGGGCATTTTGTATAATTTTTTAAATGCACTTAGAGTGTTACCGCCATAAATACAAAATTTGTTCCACGAACCCCAAAATAGTTTGGATTATTGCGATGATGAAATGTAATCAACAGGTTTATTTGAAGTTGATTATTTTAAGTGTTTTTTGTCCTAAATTTTGAATTGTCTATCAGGAGTAACATGAGCGGAAGCCCGGGATGGGATACCCAAATGATGGATACATTGAAAAACTTTGATCTCAATAGTCCAGATGTCAAGCAGCAGTTTGGTAAGCTTGAATGTCTCTGTGTATTAAGGCATTAAATTTATTTTGCTTTTTGTTTTATTTTAATAGTAACTTTAGTGCCCCAATTTTTAGAACACTCTCATTGAAAGGTGTAATAGCATGACAAAGTTTTAGAGTTTTTTGTTTTCTATCTAAGGTTTTTTCTGTCCTTTTCATATACATTTCAGATGAAATAGGGATAACCCCGGAGGAAGTCATTTCTAAGATTATGGCGAATCCCGACGTCGCAATGGCATTCCAAAACCCGAGAATCCAAGCAGCTATTATGGATGTATGAACTATATGTGTGTGTGTGTGTGTGTATAAAATCTTTCCTTTATTTTCTTTCTTGTTCCACCATTAATCCCTGATTGTTTTGCAGGTTTCTCAGAATCCTTATAATATAGGCAAATATCAAAGTGACAAGGAGGTAAATATTACTCCGTACCGTTTATTCTTCCCGCGATCTCACTCCTTTTTTTGACACCCACCTTGAGTGTCATATTATGACACCGGCCATTCGAGGGCCCCATGGTGCTTCGTTGGGCCCCAAACTGGGTCCTACTGTAGCAAATCTGCAATTCTGGGGTTAGAGGGGGTAGGTCTCACTTTGAGGTCCAACAGAGCACTATAGGACCCCGGAGTCATAATATGACAATGACACCCGAAGCCTGGTGTCAAACGAACCATAGTGTATCCTATATCATAACAATAGAGATCACCCAAAAAAAATTCTAGATTGTCTCGTTGTTCAAGAAATGACCGAATTGTCCTCTAAGAAAGTAAATGAGTCTATGATAATAATTGCCCGAACGTTTATAATCCCTTTCGGGCATATTTCAGCACCATATTCTATTGAAACTACAATCACATTGCACTCTTTTTTTTTCCTCTCAGGTTATGGATGTTTTCAACAAGATATCAGAGCTTTTTCCTGGCGTTAAACCTTAGCTTTTGAGGGATATTGTCATTAATTTATTTATTTCAAGCTAAAGATGGAAACACACAAGAAGCATTTTTCAGTTGTTTCTTGTTGCTATGTTATCCTGTACAATTTTTTATTTGCAAGAACTAGTTTCTGAGTCCTTCATTTTTCAGTAAAATGTTTTTTTAATGCTTTGTATTAGATCTTTTTCTCACCTGATCCAAACTCTATTTTTGATTAATATTACTATCCCACAACTATTTTATAAAGTGCAATTTTTTGTGCACAAAAGAATTTATGAACATAACGGTGTAACCAGTTATAATGTTATGGTAATTATTTATATAATCTGTTTTTTACTCCCGGGCTCCCCGTGTCTCAAAATGATTTACTCCGTACTTTTTTATTATTATGATTTCTCGATAATTTTTGTTTGTTTAATGATTTTTATTGATTATTTGATAAAATAAAATATTATTGTAATCTCTTATTTTGTAGAGTTTTTTATGTAAATTTTAAATATGCAAATTTTATTTTTTTATTTCTAAACTAATTCGTGAACAAATCATTTTTAAAGTCATGAAATTTTACATGTTTGAATAAGGTAAAAAATTTTAGGAGGGAGGAGCTTTAATTTATTTATGCAAAAATATTCATGCATTTTTTAATTGCATCTAATGTGCACTGTATAAGCATTCTTTACAAAGATATACTCCTCATTTTTCTAATTTTCTGTATCAAAATTAGTCCTTTCTTAAAGAAACTGTTTTAGACCGTTTGGATATTGTTTTAAAAAAAAATTCACCAAATCCTAACTAGAAAAAAAAAAAACTTGGAAAAAACATACCTAAACACTTAAAAAATGAACAAAAACCTGCAAGATTTAACAAAGAAAAAAAATGCATACTACATTGATGATCAGATGAATACACTATGAATCTGGCTTAATAGAGAGTTTATAGACTACAAAAATGTATACTACATTAATTAATTAATTACTCATAATTCCTTCCCCTTTTCTTGCTCACTACCTCACAAAGCCTACATGGCAAAGTATCCAAACTCGCCGCCCGCGTTTTCCGGTAGTTCCCCAACACCCCGCACCTCCTCCACGCGTGGAACTCCGCGTAGGCCACCGGGTGGTTGGCAAGTGCCCTAACGTAGGACGCAAGTCCCTCCAAAGACTCGAACTTGCTCCCGTCAATGATCGAGTGCGGGGGCACCAAGTCTTGCACGTTAGGGGCACCGAAGTAGATGGGGACGGACCCCGCCTCTAGGGCGTAGAATAGCTTCTCCGTGACGTAACTCTCCGTCACGGTGTTCTCAATCGCGAGGGCAAACTTGTAATTTGACATCGCGCAGTGGAGGTGGTCCCACCACTTGGGGGTCTCGTTCGGGTCCTTGACGCAGTCCGGGTAAAGGAAAAGCGCCCGGTCGAGACCCCCAACGTTGTTGAGGCACTTCCCGAACGAGTGGTGCGGGAGTAGGCTAAGGAGGTGTTTGGCAAGCTTGTTTCTCTCGGGAAGACACCTAGACGATGACCAATACACTAGTGTGTCCTGCAATGTTGTTGAAAAAACAAACAAAACCAAGAAAGATGTTTTGCAAGTCTTGATATCATACACGACACAAACTACCCCTCCATCCCCCAAAAAAAAAAACAATTTTGCAGTTTGACTTCACGAAGTTTCAGAAAAGCGTAATAAAGAGAAAAGGTCTTTAGCGAAAATTTTGAAAGAAAAAATGAAAAGAGCCACATATTCATTTCCAAAAAAAAAAAAGAGAAAGAAAGAGTGTGAATGCTTCTTACATTTCTTTTGGAAGGGGAAAGATGATAATTTCTATCCTTGTGAAAGAGAGATCCAGCATAGGTGGATTGGACATCATCTTTGGCATGATAGCTGATAAAAACATCCTCGTACCCCGATCTCTTCCTCCCAGGTTCAAGATCCATGTACACACGCAATGGGTCGCCTCTCCGTCTCTGACAAAAAACACAAGGGTCAAATCATATGCTATCGCTTAATCAAATCATAATCCGTGGCGCTAAACGAGTCATTAGTGATAATGTTTTTGTTTTGGACATATAATCAACTATATCAAAATGGGACATTAAACTTCCCTTGGGAACTAAATGCATCTAGGGTCTAATGGAAACAACCATAGATCTTCATATTATTTTTCTTATTTAAGCTTGGCCTAACAAGCCTAAGCCCCAACTAATGCCATGTTTGGTGAGGGTTATTTGGCTGGAATGACACTGCTGAATTTACATTCATTACAATCGAAATAAGTACGTCAAAAGCTATTTGTACAAGTCATATTATGGCTACCAAACAAAGCATATGCCCCACAGCTTACCACTTGTTAGAACATTGGGTATACCTAAACTACAGTTTGAATATCCGAATCAACATGAACATATTACAACCCCAAATCAACAAACCTACTGCACTAAACAAAACAACAAACTCCGTAAAATCTCACAAAAAGTAAGGTCTTGGGAGGGTGAGTGTACACAGACTTCACCCATACTTGAAATTAAAGAGGCTGTTTCCAAGAGACCCCCGTTCAAGCACAGAAGTACTGACAAACAAACCACAGTAGCACTAATGAAGCACAAGTAAAATAAGTTGCACACACTGACTCAAACAACTAGGTCTCAAGCCCACAAGTACAAACTACCAAGGCATAGACACAAAAACCATCAAAAACTACAAACTAAAGCTCACACAACTACCCAATTACTCTAACCCTAGATCTTTGTGTGTTCCTATCTAAGGTCATATACCCTATGCTAAATATGAAGAAATTAACCAAAATGATTTGTTGTAAAAGTTGAAACTAGCTGAAATACCTAAAAACAAAGAAGTTACCTTGAGAGGAGGAGTACTAGACTCAAAAAACAAAGCATCAGGATTATCAGCCAAAATTGGCAATTTAGTCCACAAGCAGCTAAGCCCACATCTACAAGTGTAAAGATTATCCATATTATCAGGAATCCAAGTCCACCCTTTCACAAGAACACTCACATGGTTCATCCCCAAAACCCCACAATCCAATTCACCCTCGTCTACATCTTGCAAAGAACCAGAAGAGACCGAAGAAGAAGACCCATTCCTCATCAGCACCCCTCTGTGCTTCTCCCTGAACCTGGCGCACCCTACTTCAGAATCCCATCTCTTGAATGCCCCCAATAGGTCCTCGAACGGGTCGGGTCGGGAATCTGATGAGAGGGATGCTGCAAAAATCGAATCTTTGAGGGGTGTAGGGTTCGAAGAAGAAGATGATGCGGGGGGTAAATCAATAAATCTGGTGAAGAAGAGAGTGAAGAGACCGAAGCCCACCATGGACATAGCTGCGATCGAGTTCATGGATTTGAACGACATGGTTTAAAAGAAGGGAGGTTTCACAGAGAGGATTTCTTCTGTGTCGGAAAGGGATTTTTGACTCTCCATCTGCGTTAATTATGGATTAGGAAAACGACTCAACGTTGGGGAATTACTCCGTACATGAAGAGAAAAGGGAAGGTTCAACTGACATTGAAACTTGATGTCTTAAGATGATCCGGGGCGTTCCGGTGCTACAGTAAAAGAAAGAAAACGAAGGTTAAAAAAATTAAACTTTTAAATCTTGGTTAATAGATATGGAGTAAACAATAACAACAACCCAATTGCATCCCACAACAGTAGGGTCTTGGGAGGGTGTGTACGCAGACCTTGCCTCTACTCAGAAATATGAATGTTGTTTCCAAAAGATTCTTTACATAGTGTTCTGGGGAGAAATCACATATATATGTAACACATTATAGATAGTGGCAGATCCAGAAATTGAATGAGAGCGTCATTATATTGGTTGTGACAGATTTTTTTTATAAGCTATATGAAATGATAAAAAAAGAATGATTTTTATTTTAAATATTTATTGAATGAATAACATTTTTAATAGATAATTTGAAATTTTATTTCATAAATAATTAATTATATGCAATAAAATACTCTTTATTAAAAAATCAAACAAAAAATTTAATCTAGCCTAATTTGATGGGGTCACATTAATTTTTGTTGGGGGCATATAAACATAACATTTGAAATGTAAAAAATAATTTACCGAAATAGAAAAAATTAGTAGGGGACATATGCCCCCAATTCCTATTGATTGCAGATCTTATTCCTCATAGCAGAGCATTGGGTTTTTAATGGCTGTATCGAACTAAATTTCACTCTGAGCGCACCAAAGAGTGAAATAAGACCAAGTTAGTTGCGTTGAGTAGTTAGAAAAAATTGTACACTGATTATATTAACAACTTTTTTCTTATCGTAAAGTTGATTATTGTTGTTTTATTATTTGTTGTTGCTATGAAGTGAGAGGTTCATCAATTGAATATGAATAATGCAATTCAGATGGTGATCCCCGTGAAGATATCTTTATGAACTTACCACTTGGGTATTATATCGTATACTCATATATACTTCGCATGATTAAGTATGTCGTTATTGAAAGTCTTTTAAGTTTTAATGGTCTTCGATAATTTTCAAGAAACTAGTTTGCTAAATTGAGTATCGCCCCTTGTTATGAGTTTCACCAGCCCATGTTGTCCATACTTTAATAACAATTCTCTTTGTGCATCTTTTAAAAAGAATCTAGATAATTATTGTTATTGAAAGATATTGACTGTGTTTCATATATTTTTTAAGGATTGAATATGCACAATTAAAAGATGGCATGATGTTGAATCAACGAAAGTATATATAGTGTGGATATTTTAATTTACATGAAGTAGAATTGTAGAGTTGCAAGCATGTTGATACTTATATTCATGTGAATCACAATCTTACATGACTCCTTAATTAGTGTTGCAATAAATGATCCAACCAATTACAATATTGCAGGCCTGTGGGATTCCAATATTGTTTGTATTAATAGTGTAAGATTACCTCTTCTCTTTATATACAGTAGAGGTGTACACAATTTCTACACGATATACAAATTAAACAATGAAACAACTCTGGCCCATTTAACTTGCATTAATAAGTTTTGGTGCATGACAATATATAGAAACTGAACAGATGACCAAGCCAAGTAGAGCCTAGCCTTCTTGAATAAATTGACAATTTGAAGTCCCTTATGAGTTATGAATATCAGTTTCTTTGAACTGTTCATAAAACACGAGCTTTGATTAAGGAACTAAGGAATTATATACGCTTTAACACTGTACATTAAAAAAATGATTTTGTAAATCTTATTTTACACTACCAACAGTGTTTTACACTTTCACTTTTTTATACTCACTCCAACCATATCTTATATACTATACATTTTTATTATATTTTATTGCTTTAAAATCTACAAATTAATTTAGAATAGTTCATTATAAATATATTTGATTCATGATTAATTATGATCACATTTATTACATCTAGCCTATTCTCATTTTTCTTTGCCACACAACAGATTATGTATTTTGGGCTAAACATTAGACGAATAGATCGAAAGAAATACGAGCAAGAAAGTGTTGAAAGAGAAAGACAAAGAAGAACAAAGCAACATTACCTGAGGGAAGAGATGTAGAGAGCAACAACTTTGGACTCCATTGGAGTGCAAATACGGATGAAGATGAAAAAACAAGAGAAGGGGGAACAGAGAGGTCAACAGAAGGGAAGAGAAGATAAAATTAATTTTTTAATTGTTTCCACAATCTACAGTGATAGTGTAAATATAGACTATGGCTCAAGCTTAATTTGGTCAAAAATTTAACCTAAAAGTTAATAAATTTTAGGTTGTGCAATTGGAGGATCAGGTGTAGTGGTTCACTAGGGATGGGTCAGGCATGTGGTTTAGGAAATGTAGTAACCGTCAATTTTAGAATTAGAACATTACACTCATGAAAGCACTCAATGATATTTTCTTAGAAGTAATCTCCAGTAACTAGAATTTCATTTCGATTTTAAAATTTGTCTTTTTAACTTTTAAATTACAATGAAATTTTAAATTTTAAGTCCAAAATTTTATAATTCTTAGACATGAAATTTGATCTCGTCTAAATTTGAAATCCAAATTCAAATTAGCAAAGATACCATAAATGAATAGTGTTTTTATTTTAGGACAAGTTGACCTGTCACTGAAAAACAGTGAGACGTGCCTCCATGAATGTGTACCAGTGTACATACCACACATTATAATTAATGAAAATGATGAACACGTGTCCGTATTTATTTACTCCCTATTTCTTTTAAATCTGCGTATATACGGAGTGTATACACACACATATATATATATATATACTGTATAAGATACGCAACAACTGTATAACGGCCGACCACCTAACACAGACTAGAAAGTACAGTACCTATAACGTACTCCGTAGTCCGTAGTGCAGCTTAATTATACATGTACGGTAATAATTTTTCGGTAAAAAAGTTTCATGTTTCACTTAGTATAAATATAAAAAAAAAAGTAAATTAAATGGTTAAATATTACTCCCTCCGTCTCTAAATAGACCAAAAAAAAATTCTCTCCTTTCGATAATTTTTGTTTGTTTACACGTACGATTTCATTAAGTATTTGATAAAATAAAATATTATTGTCACCTCTTGTTTTGTAGAACTTTTGACGTAGTTTTTTAATCTGTAATTTTTATATCTTATTGATATACCAATTTGTAAATAAAATGATTTCAAAAAGTAGGAAATTTTACTCCGTAACCCGCAATTTGTAATCAAATTGGGGACGGAGGGAGTATAATTAAAAAAGAGAGAGAAATTAACCCTTGGTTCCCATGGCATTTGAAACCAATGTCATAGGATGACCTGGGGTGCTCTGATGCCCCCTTCGTAAAATTGACGATTCCCACCCTTCGTAACTAGCACACAAAAACTTTTTTAATAATGAAAAGTGATTTTTTTGGAACTAACGAACGAGGAAAAAGTGAAACCTTTTCATGAAAATAAGTACTAGTAAGTAATTATTCTCATTCCATTGGGTTTCATATGATTTGATATGATGTACAAAAAGGGAAATAAATATAAACGTCCGGATTATTCGATTCGTAACAAAAGTGATAAGAACGATCAATTATTTATAGCATCATGAGATCCTTAATTTTGTGCTAATGACCAATCTAAAATTAAAGCTCGATATGTATATTACTAAGTATCTTTCAGGCTACCGTTCTTGACATTCTATTAATTACTACTCCGTATTAATTACGGAGTATTAGGGAATAAGGGCGCTTTACAATGGAGTTCACCCGTTTTCAATTCACGTGGTTTGAATTGTCTCTTTTTTTATAGTAATTACGTAAAACTGTAAAAAAAATACTCCTTCGTTGATAATTTGATCAAATCATATACTTATGTCACATGCATATATACTCTATAGAAGTTTAGATTTAGCTTTTAAAGATATAAACTTTGTTTTTACGAAAATAGACTAGTACTCCGTACGTACTAATATTATTGATGTATTGGTCTGTTTTTTTTTTTTTTTGCGGTTATACATAGCTTTATGATTTTTGACCATAAACGAGTAGAGTTGAGCATTAATTAAAATGAACAAACATTCCCCTAGAAAATCATAAAAATTAAAACAGTGCTAACCAAACATTAGTACTTAATTAGCATTATATGTAAAATGACCATACTCTCTTTAATTGATCTATTCAACAAAAGCATTGCATAAGTTAAAGACACAATTGTCATATGGTATTTTGATCATGTCTTGATCACAATACATAAGTATATATATAATAGCTCTCTGCTTATATATATATACTTACGTTAAAACGTATCATTCTAATTAGAGTAAGAGTAGAGTGAGAAGAACTGAACTCTAGGGTTTCTTCATTCAGGGCGTCAGATTTTCTTGCCTGACGTCCATAATATATAATCATGCATGCATGCATGCAAACTAATGCGAGCAAGTGCTTGCATGTTCGCATGCACCAATGGAGGCGATGAGACGGCGAAAAGCCAGCTCATCGCAAGGAATAACAAGTTTACTACTGCGGCCGCTGTCAAACCCGTATTCCTCTGCAGCTTTATCGAGCAACTTTTGGAACACCTCGTTCTTCAGCACGCACATTGGGACTACGAACCGCGTGGCAGTTTCGTCATCCGGGCCCACGTACACCGCGAAATGCCCCTTTGGCGGCGCCTTTCTGTAGCCGCCGCCGCCACCGGACACCGCCGTTGTAACCCCAAAAATTCTATTTTTAGGCATGGAGGTAATTAAGATGGATTGGATTGGATAAAGATCAGAAGAATGGCCGGAGGGAGCTGAGACATGTTTCAAGTGAAAGAGATGTCAGGATATATATATATATATATATATATATATATATATATATATATATATATATATATATACATTTCATGGCTCATGCAAGTCGGTTCTATGTACTCTCTATTTTGTTTCTGAGTGTTTGTCTAATTTTTATTTTGTATACTCAACTAACAAAATAATTTAATAAAATTATTTTGTGTCGATATGTAATATCAGTTTTATTTAATTAGTGATCAAAGTTTGCTGATTTTGACTTTAAAGTAAAAAAAGACAAACATATGTGTTGGATCCATTACATAGGATCCAAAGCTAAGGAAGTGGAGGCCCATTTTTGGGAGCATGTGAGAGACCTGCGGCAGATAAGGTGCAGTACTGCACTCGTATATATTTTCCGCATCCAACAATAATGTTCTTGTTGCGTGTTATAATATTTAACTGAAATTATTTTTAAATAATTTTATATGAAAAATGGTATGGAATTTTAAAATAAAAATTAAATATTGAAGAACTATATGAAAAGATTTTCAAAACTAGAGGTGACATGACTATATTATTTTATCAGATGAGCAACGATAATACGCCAATAAAATGAATAAAGTGTGACCATGTGAATAGTGGATGTGAACATTATTGTTGGACGGAGGGAGTATATCATGTATATGCATGTATATACTATGCCATGTATAATGTATAGTATGTTATTGTATGTCAAAAAATCGTAAAGAATATAACAGTACAATATTATAAGTTCTTAAGTTAAACTGATTAATCGGTTAGCTTCAATCTTTTAATGAAATTCAACTCAAATATCATATGATCAAATTCGGTCACTTTTTCTCATCCTAATCTAATTCTGGCATAGTATCAGAACCAATTTTTCTGTGACTCATATAACCTAATTATTCGTGTAAAAGTCTATACCCAGTGATTCGCGTCCTTTAGCATATACATCATGCCTGGTATATATAATAATAAGCCTCCTAGACAAAGATAATATAAATGGGGTTAACGTGGAGGGTTAAAGACCACATTTTAAATGTATGTTCATGCAATGCAGATAAATTGGGTCGTGCATGGCGATCCCATGCAAATTCAATTCATTGTACGGCCCACTCTTTGCATTTAATTACACATACATACCTACTTACAAGTACATACTACCTCCGTTCTTGAGTATTAGTCCACATTTAACTTTTTTCAATTTGGTCAAAATTGATAAATTTTAATCTCAAAGTAACTAAAAATGACTTCAGATATTGATATAAAAATAATTTTATTAGATTTGTTATATTCAAAATTTTGTTTTGTCTAGAAAATTTGAATACTCCCTAAGAATTTAGGAATAATTAGAAGAAAAAAAATAAAGTGAACTAATTTTGGAACAGAGGGGATATGAACTTGCAATGATTGAAGCTTGGTAAGGGCCCAATATAGTGGTAGTTAATGTGTCCATATTACGAAATGTAGAAATAGTCCAGTGTTTGAATGGGCCCATGTGACTTTAATAGGATCCATTGTCATGTGTTCCATATAGGTCCCATGTGACTTTATTGAAATCTACTCCCTCTCTATTAAAAAAATGTTATACTCCCTTTGTTCCATAAAACTTCTCTAATTTGAGTGGAATTTTAGGAATTCGCAACACAAAAATTACAAATTCTTTAAATTTCACTCAATTGGAAAAATTTTATAGAACGAAGTGAGTATAATTTATATTCGCAAGCTTCCTCTGTAATATACTTTCTCCGTCCAAAATATTCTTTTTTCGACGAACATGCAAAATCTAATTTTTTTAAAAATATGTTTATTTATAAATTAATATAGAAATTAGAAGGATAACTTTCATATCTAAAAGCTACAAAAAAATTCTACAAAATTGGTCACATGACTATTTTATTTTATTAGATAATCAATAAAAATATACAAACATATATTTTATTTAAATAGAAGAAATACAAATATGTGTCACAAGTTTTTACAAAGTAAGAAAAAATGAATCATCTTAAGACAAGCAGAAAAAGATGGAAAACACATGTACAGAGGAAGTAGTTCCACTATTGAAAGTTGGAACAACATGTAAAATTTCGTGACTTTTAAATTTATTTTTTTATAGAATGGTATAGAAAAAACAATTACAACTTACATATTTACAAGTTAAATAAAAAATTCTATAAAACAATAGGTGATAAAATATTTTATTCTATAAAATAATCAATACAAAACATACAAACAAATACGGAGTAAAAATTATCGAGAAGCCGTAATAATAACGGTGCAAATCATTTTGGAATGGAGGGAGTAAGATATAGTGAACAAAATATAGTACTCCGTACTCCGTAGTTGGAAACTGTTTGGAGAGAAAAAAAGTAATACGAACTAAATTATTGTATATGGGTAGAAATGGAAACACCAATATCTAAATAAAATTGAAAACAATTTCTATCGAAATAAGTTTCCATAAAGTGACATCAAAATAAAATGCAAAAAACTCTATGAAATGTCATCACACAATACCAAGTTGTAACATTGCATAGTGCCTACGATCCTATCTAGAAAGTAAAACATAGAAAGTCTAATCTCGGTATATGTTTAATGTGTTAATCATATTCATGTAGAATCCTTTGTCTTAATTAGACTAATAAAAAAGAGGGTGCGATCCGTCCTTGACAAGTGCAAGGATGTCATGCTACACGTGGTCGTCCTTCATCACTGTCGACAGAAGTCAAACCCAAACAATTACAGAATTACCCATTTTACCCTTTTTTTAGACTGTTATTGACCAGCTAAATTACGTCCCGAACCTAAGATTTTTTTTATAAGGGGAAGGGGAGGGAAGAGAGCACATAAGAGAGAGTGCAGTAGAGAGCACATGGAAACATGTTTTTGATATGATAGATGGACATAAGAGAGAGTGCACTCCATCTGCTGCAAAATCAAAAATTTGCCATACCCCTCAAAGCTTCCCCACTTCATTCAATACCACAATCCACACCAGAGTTATATAGTTGTACATGTTTTTGGTACATGTTTTTGATATGATAGATGGACGTTGACATTAAGTTTAAAATTAATATATTTATATCATTAAAAAATAGTTCTAAATCAACTAATATATTGTTTATTTCTTAATTACGGAGTACTAAAGGCCTGTTTGGGAATAATGTTAGAAATTAGCGTTAGCGTTTTGGATAAAATTTCAACGGTGCAGATTATTTTGAAAACACTAACACTAAACGATGCCCGTAGATAGCCTTTTCAAAACGCTAACGCTAATCTTTAACGCTATTCTCAAATAGGCCCTAAGTTTAATACATTTATAGTTTCTCTTATCCTGTATTTGAGAATATCCAAAATAGATCTTCAGATTTGACTCTATTATGGAAAAATACAAGTCCAGAAAGAGGACTCTCTTTATGGGACACAAAAGTGATTAGTCCCTTTTTTATATAAAAAAGTAACCAGACCAGAATAAAATTTGCAAAGAATCAGTCCACATAAAAGAAAAAAAGAGCTAATATTGCTATTTTAGTCCTGCAAGTAGACTACATTGTCCTGCAAGTCACGTTTTATCTCCCAAAGAGAAATTATTACTGTCCACGATTTCTAGGAAAAAGGTGGCGACGCACGTATTATGTGCACAAAAGAGTTTGTAACCGGTGAAATACAAACTATAGAGACCTAATTTTAATTTATGAACAATGCCTTGGAAAATGTTAGATCAGCCATGTACTACTACCATTTGCCGTCACTCTCATATATTTGCATTTTGTCCAAAGTACCCATAGATGTGTTGCAATTGGGACTAGCTTTCGGCTAAAGGGTGTTTTAGACAAAATATAAACACATGGGAGTGGGAATAGGAAAGCACAACTAAGAAGAATGCATACAAAGAAGAGAAGGGGCAAACTGAAGTAGCAGATTAACCAGGTAAAGCACAACTAAGAAGAATGATTACTTTAATTTGGTCTTGACGACGAGGAAGAACAGGCTGGAGAGTATATGAATCAAAATGCAACTGATCGAATATATGAGAATATAAANGGGGGATGACACTTACCACCTGCACAGCAACTTTGATTTCCAAATCCCAATCTGAGAGCTGTTTGGAGCCGCAGCAGAGGTATCAGAAAACTGATCATGAAACCAAAATTGAATAGCTCTGCATTTACTATAAAGTATATATAAACATTTGCAGCATATAATTTCATCTTTTTTTTTGTATGTCTTTCACCCAATCCTTTTGACAATTATGGCTAAAGATGAATGTTTTCACGTTGTGAGTTCATCTAATATTGCACTATTAGATAGTTTTTTTTGCATTTGATCCCCCAGTCGACTTTCATTTGTTCCACATTTGGTGAATGATTATAGTCTAGATTTTTCGCCAATTTTGGTCCTTCCAATCTATTCTCCGTGAATAGTTTTTTGCCCATCAAGTGATCAGAATGACCTCGAAAGTGGCTAGAAATCCATAACCATGCACCATAAGTGAAATATATTCTATGTTTCAAAAATACCAAATTTTGGAGGAGTCTAGGTAATTCTTTGCAAACTTCACTAAACATCCTACCTTATTTGTTTTCACAAAGATTAAATTATACGTATTTCAATTACCTAACATGTAAGAGCTCCGTAAAACTCATCATTTTGTGAAAATTATCGTTCCATCCTGAATTTATCTTCTCCCTGGCCTGCTTGAACATACGTATAAGCAATTTCATCTTCAGTCTTCACTTCCTAAAGAGCCAGAACCGTGAAGACTCTTGAATTCCATCGGAGACTGTAGTGTAGATGCCTCAGATATGTCACTTGCCTCATTTAATTCATGATGATTATCAGCAAATTGATCAAAAGTTGAAAGTGAGTAATATCCCAAACAGATTTCTTGATTACTATGATGTCCATCCATTCTCCATTCTATTTTATGACATTAGCTCCAAATGGCCGGATTTCTAAACTGAGCTGCCATTGCTTCAGATAGAAATTTCACCAGCTTCTCTTTCTCAACTTCCTTTTCCTTCCTAAGTTCAAGATGTCGGACCTTAACGGATCCTTTTTGAGAAACACCCGTGTCGGTGATGAGGACAAGGCATTTGATGTCATGCTCACTTGCATATTCATATTGTTCAGTTAGGCTTGGATCACACAACGGTACAAATTCAGCCTTGATATTTTCCTCCCATAGCTCAGCCACTAGTTCCATCCTCTCTACCAATAACCCACCACCTCCTCTCGAACAAACAAGAACTTTTGTCCCCATATCATTTCTGTAGGGTAGAATGTCCGCAGAAACATGTTGCAAAATAGTCTCCAAAGCAACACTAGTCCCAACAGCGCCAGGATAATTTTTCAGTTTATTCTCTGAGTCCCCAATGTTATGGAACAGGTGGTCGTAGCGTCCTCCAATAGCAAGTAATGTTCCCTCCATCCCGGGGCTATTGTCTTCCCGTAAATATATCTGGTAATACAAATTCCTGTGATAACTCTCGGTTGGTGGCATCAGCACATCTACATAGACATGCTTCTCAATCTTCCAAACTCTTAAATAGTTAAAAAGATCAGAAATTTCATCAAGTGCCTTGTGTGTCAAATCATCAGCAGGAAGGGCACCTCTGAGTCGTGGAAGGGCCTGATCAGCAACCACACAGAATCTCAACCCAACAGTTTGTAGTCTATTCAGTACAGTTTCACCAAGATTAAGCTCCTGTCGGAGTTGCCTTCGTGTTTCAACCCATTTTCTCTTTCTTTCAGAAGACTGAGGACGCAAAGATCCCAACACAGAGAGAAGCTCAGCAACTTTTTTCCTGTGCTCATGTTTGATGCCTACCCAAGTCCAAATTGCTTCCAACAGATCGCCATGATTTAAATGAATATCGCATGATTCTGATCTAAAAAAGTGAGTAATAATGTCCATCGAGACTTTGATGATCTCTGACTCTGTCAATGCCGTTGCTCCTCCAACAATGTCAAAATCTCCCTGTAGATAGCGATTTGGGGGTGAGTGACCAATTGGCCGTCGGTAGACGTATGAAATTTCATAACGCTTGTAAAAGGATTTCTGGTTTGCAATCACCCATTTTACAAACGGCAATCGTAGTTCTTGACAAAGCTCAATCATGTCTCCCCCATGGGTCAAAAGCTTGACGGCACTCCTACTTGACTGCAGGCAATCACCCACCATTCGCATGTGAATGATCTCCAAATGTTTTGCACAATGTCGCCGGCATATTTCTTTAGCCACCTCCATAACATTATCACGATTATTTGTCTCAAAATCACTGAATAGGATTGATGAAGTATCATTTCCCGATACCATCAGTCTTCCATTATTCTCAGTATGATCTTTTGCTGTTGGCCTCTCCTCATTAAAAACGGCACTGACAATTTTATCATATATAAATGTATCATCTGAGGTATGAATTGCCCGTAACATATCGTCTAGCAAATCATACTCCATCCGAGGTGGAAAGGCATGTTGAAGAAGTTCTGTTGCTGATGGGCGATTTATTGGAGTCGGGGACATCATGCGCCGCAGCAAGGATGCCTGATCTGGGAATTCATCAACCCAAGAGGGGGGAAGTTCTCCCTTTTGCTTCAGATTAGAAAGAATAACATGCCTCTCCATTGCTGTATCAAATGGATGCCACAACTCAAAGAAAACAACTCCTAAGCTGTACATATCAGCCTTCTCATTGATCTTTGGCCACCCTTGCTCTATTTCAGGTGCAGTATAAAAGTAAGTACCGATGTGACCAGTACCATCAACAGAACTTCCAACTATCTCAGCAGCGTCAAAATCTTGATCCAGCTGTTCCAGTTTCAAGAACTTTGCAAGCCCAAAATCCCCAATTTTAATGTCATTGCGAGCACCAAAAAAGATGTTATTAGGAGTCAAATCACGGTGAATGATTCCTTGTCCATGTATATGTGCCAATCCTTCTACAATTTGTCGGAATAAATGCCATGCAATATCCTTGTCAAAGTGACTATATGACTCAAACATCTGCTTAAGTGTCCTGCAAAGAATTTAAAGGGGAAACATTATGAATTTGTGGGTGGGTACCGGAGAGCAATGAGCTTATTGTTTCCTATCTTCAACTATAATGTCCTCGAATCAAAACTGTTTTTTATTCATGATCTTCTTTCCTTCTTTTGGTGTAGTTTCTAAATGTACATTATGGTTGAGAAAAATAAACAAGTACATGACGAAAGGCAGAAAACTACACAGCCATATCGCAGAATATACAAGCATGATCTAAGGCCGATATTCAGTAGGAAATGACATACAATCGAGTTCAACCCACTGATAGAAGTACTAAAAATGTAAAGCAAACACCTTCCCCTTTCCTTTGACTACCTCAACTACAAACCTAATATAATCTAAACTCCATTGGGGTCTAGAGGGTCAAGATGACCGCAACCTTACCCCTAGCTATTTCCGTTAGATCATTTATGCATCATTGCATTTACAACCCAAAACTTTACAGAAAGAAAGAAGCCGGGGAAGTTCAATGTGCTATTTTGATTTAGCCCATTATTTACCAGAAGCTAAAACATTATGAAATACTCTCTCTGTCCCAAAAATGCTGTCTCACTTCAAACAACATGCAAAATTCCATCTCTTTTAAAATTATTTTATTTACAATTGGTATAGAAATGAAAAGTACAAATTGCATACTTCAAAACTAAGTCAAAATTCTATAAAACAAATGTGACAAGAACATTTTACTTTTTCAAATAATCAATAGAAACACACAAATAAACAAAAGTTATTAGGAAACCAGAATAGTAAGTGAGACGATATTTATGGGACGGAGGGAGTATCTCTTTTAGCTCCATTGGCAGTGGATACAAGAACAAGAAAACAAAAAAAAAACAAGATAACATCTAACTAACAAGACCAAACAACAAAGAGCTAAAATGTATTAATCCCAAAACACATTTTCTAACAACCCAAAGACCAATACAAAGATTATACAACTCTAATATGACATCTTCAAGAACTTCTATAGGAGGCCAAGTCATTATTAAGGTTTAACATTGTCATGTCCAATCTTAGCTACTAATCCCACAACTTTTGCGGTCTGCCTCTACAACCCATTCTTTCCATCACATCTCCATAATCCCACATATTATGTTTTTCTTGTTCATGATCTCACTACATTTCAAGTGATTGTACATGGAAGAAAATTATAATAACATAGATAACCTTGGGCAGTACTCCATTTGAATGTACAGATATGTTGACTCAAGCTTGGTCTCATTCCCAAAAGCATCAGATGAGCTTGCATCCTTGAAGCTGAAACTAGAGCTCGTAACAGTCCTGGAGCCAAACATGGCATCACTAGAACCAGCAATCCCTGTTTCAAACCATGCCTGCAAGCATTAAAATTGTCAGTAGATGTGAAACCAGAAAAAGAATTAGTCTGTAGAATAGAAGCAGTGTAGCTTGGAGATTATTGGCATTCAGAGAGCTTGAAAACTAGTTTGCACTGTACAACATGTTGCAAAAAAAACAAAAAATAAGCAAAGCAACAGTAATAAAGAAAATACAAGTCTTTTCATGATAATGAACCTGGTAATAGCGGACCACATGCTGATGTTGCAACCTCGAAAGTGTGGTAACTTCTCTCAAAATATGGTCATTCAAGGGCGGGTTCTTGTCCTTCATCAGTATTTTCTTGACAGCGTATTGTCTACCATCCAGTTTATTCTTGCAAAGTACAACATGACCAAAGCCTCCATGCCCAAGGGGTCGTAGCTCCTCAAAGTCATTTAAATAACGCGAAGTTGGACTAGACAGAGAATTTTGTACTTCCAAATCGGAGGAAGCTTTCCAAAACTGTGAAATCTTAGATGAAACCATATGTTGCTGAAATGCCCGACTAAAAGCCTTGTTAAAAATTGAAGATGGTTCGCTTGCCAAATCTCGCACTTGCTCTGAAACAAGCCCTAGGTTGAACAGCTCTGACAATATTCCAGGCATTGCATCAGATAGAGGCCCTTTAGGAGAACAAGAAAGCCGCAACAAATGGGCCAAAATTAAATCTTTCTCCAGAAACCCAGTTGATTGTTTACAGAGGGTGGGTTCCGACATTCCACATTCTGAAGATTCACTTTCCATACCACTGGATTCACTTCCTTCATCACTTCCATCGTCAGTTCCTGATGGATTGCCATCTGCAAAAAGATTATTCACAATGGCAACGTTTTCAATTGACTCATCGCTGTCAGACAATGTCCTACTCAAATCGCCAGAACTACTACTCCCGCCTTCACTTTCTTCCTCGAGAGTACCCAAACTTCTGGTAGACTTGTGCAATGAAACTCGCCTAATATCTGGATCCATCATCAATGGCTCCATGACTTTGTCAACTTTAGAAGTTGGAGCATCTGGTTCATTTTTTAAGCTCTCTAATGTGGTCATATTCACTAAAGAATCTAACCTATCATTCCCTTCCATTATCATGTTGCAATGCCATGATTCCGCGGAACCATTAAAAAGATCTACGAAGCCAAAAACAAAAGGTCCTCTACAAGGTTTGTAGGTAGCAATTACAGCATCCTTCTGAAAAATCTGCTCATTTATACACACTGTTGACTCAAGAAGTTGCTCCTGAGGTAATATTTCAGATAAGAACTCTTGAGCAGCTTCCACCAAATTGTAAATCATTACACGACCTTCTCGAGCATTAGAATTAGCCTGATCATTAAGTAGTGACAGAAGGTTGTCTGCATCAACTTTTGATAGGCCTTTCTCTGGTATTATTTGCAACTTAGGGCATTTGTAAGGGTATCCAGATACACACCTTACAGAAAGAAGAGCAGACACATTGGTATCCTCAATCCCCGCATCTTTTGAGTAAGGTCTGAGCTTGAGAGTAATTTGTGGAGGAAACTCAGAAACGACTTTAAGGTCATCTTGAAATATTGCAGATAATGCAGTAAGCTCTTCTGCAACCAACTCAGCACTATCTTTAGCAAGTGAATTCTGATCTTTAGTCAGGGATCTTCCCTTGCTTCTCCGCCCAGTGTCACTCCTCTTCTTCTTCTTTTTTGAACTCTGACCCATTCGCGGTCTAGCAAAAAATGATAAACTTTACCTTTTGCCTATGAAATGAGAGGCTCTGTAAAAAAAGGAAAAATTAAACTTTCATTGTTAGGCCATACTGCCCCAGAACACCAAGAAGCAATACAACAAACAACAACAACCCAGTAGAATCCCGCAACAGCAGGTCTGGGGAGGGTATGTGTACTCAGACCTTACCCCTACTAAAAGTAGAGACGCTATTTCCAAAAGACCCTTATCTCATGCAACACAAAGAACAACTAGTACAACAAAAGCACAATACAACAAGAGCCTAAGGAGCAAACAAAAAGGGAAGAAAAGCACGCTAAGATAAAAGGCACCTAAAAAGATGTAAAAAGAAAAACATCAAGCCTACAAAGCACACAACGAAGAGTATAAAACTACCACGCCGGACAAAATGACTAACCAACAACCCTAGTTCTAGATCTTCAAACGTCTCTATCTAAGGTCATATCCTCGGTGAGAGCTAAAAGTACTAAGTCCTGCTTAATAACCTTCTTCCTATTCTTCCTAGGTCTTCCCCTTCTCCTAAACCCACCAGCTGTCGAAAACATCTCACATCTCTGCACCGGGGCCTCTGGTTCACGTTGTTTCATGGGTGCCACTGCCACCCGTCTCTAAATAACCTCATTCCAAATCCTATCAAACCTCATCTGCCCACACATCCATCGAAGCATACGCATCTCAGCTGCATGGAGTTGACGAACGTGGGCCTTTTTGACCGCCCAACACTCAACACCATAAAGCATAGCTTGTCTGAATATAACCTACCTTTCGTTTTTTCTGAAATCTTCTTATCGCACAGAACCCATGATGCCAACTTCCACTTCGCCCAAGCAACTCTGATACGGTGAACATCCCCGTCTATCTCACCATCCGCCCGAATGATCGAGCCAAGGTACTTAAACTTATCTCTCTTAGGTACAGGGTGTGCATCAATCCTAACTCCCACCTCTGACTCTGACATCCACCCACTAAACCTACACTCTACGTACTCAGTCTTAGTTTTGTCCTGCTTAGTTTAAAGCCCTTAGATTCCAAAGTCTGATGCCATAACTCCAACTTGTCATTGAGTCCTTCACGAGTCTCGTCAATCAATATAATATCGTTAGCAAAAAGCATGCACCAAGGGGACTTCCTCCTGCACACTATGCGACAAAACATCCATCACTGTGGAAAACAAAAAAGGACTAAGGGCCGACCCCTGCCCACCTTTACAAGGAAAGGATCAGAGTTACCCCGACAGTCCTCACCCTACTCATTTCCCCCAATGTACATATCTTTAAATGCACGAATATACACAATCAGAACCCCTCTAAACTCAAGACATCTCTACAATATCTCTCTCTGGACCATTAGCCTCCATAGGAGGTGAATAGCTTCGGTGGTTGAACGGCCAAGCATGAAGCCAAATTGGTTCTCAGAAATACAGACCTTCCGCAACCTAACCTCTATGATACGCTCCCAGACCTTCAATGTATCGCTAAGAAGTTTGATGCCTCTGTAATTATCGCAACTTTAGATATCATCTTTCCTCTTGTATAAAAGGATCACCACACTTTCTCTCCATTCATCAGGCATCTTGGCAGTCCTAAAGATTACATTGAAGAGATTGGTAACCCAAGACAAACCACTGCTCCCAACACACTTCCATAACTCCACCAGAGTCTAGTCTCAAAGCTCTCCCTCCTCTCACTCCTCTGATGGCCTTCACCACCACTCCTTCGCTAATACGCCGGCAGTAAAATGACATTTTACCTTGTTTCAATTGCTTCCAAACAGGTTCATAATGTTTTGGAGAACAGAAAAATGTATCCTCCAACAAATGTGCAGATTCAATAATTGATGGTGTTAGAAAGAAAGTGTTGTTATGCTACAGAACCAGACTTCAGACCACACACCTCTACCCAACAATCCAAAGTCCCGATGCCTCTCTTGGCAAAACTAGACAAGCAACCCATGTGTTAGAAAACACAAATGGTTTAAATGTAGGAATGGTGCATTACATGCATTGGAATGGAAAGAACTCACAAAGAAAATCTCAGAAGAGATGGTTTTATAAATGCTGGATGGAGGTGTGGTCTGAAATCTGGCTCTGTAGCATAACAAAACTTTCTTTTTACTTTCTAACACCATCAACTATTGGATTTTTGCATTTGTTGGAGGGTACATTTTTCTGTGCTCCAGAACATTATGAGCCCGTTTGGAAGCAAATGAAGCAAGATAAAATGTCATTTTACTAGTTATTTAAGAATTGGTAAATGAGTTGGTTGCAGTTATAATTTGCAACTTGGTAAAATATTAGTCAATGGTGAAACTGAATGCAAAACTTAAAAATCTTCAAGGGTGATACACATTCTACTTAGAAATGGAATATATTTGCAGAAATCTCTGCACCATTGAAGGCTACATTTTTTACTAAAATGCACAGAGATTGAACGCCAAAAAATAGGAACATTGGTACATGGAAATTTATTAAATCAAAATCTCTGATGACCTTCATGTACATCCAATCCAACTGAAACCTGAGATATGAGAAAATGAAGAATCGTACCGATGGAAAATGCTGTGATCTCAGACCGTAGAGAGCCAGAGAAATCTCAGTGATCAAGTTCTCCAGGGAAGCTATTTGAGTATTCGCCGTCACTTCCGGTTGAATGGCGGCCTCGTAGCTTCCGGTGAGTTAGCGCCCTCGCCGCTGCGCGGCGATGGAGCTAAATTGGGAGGAGGACGATATTTTTGGTAGGGATATTGGAGGTTGTTGACGCTGATCAGATACGCTTGAAGCTCTTCGGACTTCGGAGGCGGCGGGTTGCCAATTACGTGACGATATTTCTGGAAATAAGTGCTTTTTTTACTTCAAAGACGGTTAGTGAAGGTTCTTCCCGTAGGCTAAAAAAGGATTGCCTCTTGTTCTTTTCCGTTTGTTTTTTGGGCGTTTGCAAAGCAAAATGCCATTAAACAAGTCTGGAAATCAGAATCAAACGAGCTTTTAAACTTCTGTTCCACACGAGATTTCTGTTCTCGTTGAGCTCATCTTAGGACATAAAAATAACTTTAAACATAATAATATTCTGATCAAATCAGATCAGATCAAAATTTATTCTAATGATATAAGAACATGGCCAAAAACGCCAAAAGTGAAGTACATTTATATTCCTCTCTCTTAGAGCATTGACAATGGCAAGGCAAAAATGAAATGCCACACGGTGACATGGATTATTTCAACCAATAAAAAGTAACTCAGTCACCGTGTGGCAAATGAGTGGAGTGTCGTAACATACAGTGGCAGGTCGTTGTTTTTGTCTATTTTTACACTTTTTAATTATAAAAAATCATTTTTAAAATTTATTTTATTATTAAAATATGTTTACTTCTTTTAAAAAATATTTTTTTCAAAAATTACAAATATTAAAAATATTAAAAAAATAAAAAATGAGAGAGTCATGCCTTGCACATGGAATGAAAAATGGGATAGAATGGTCATGGAATGCCATGATTTGAGTGGAAGTTGTTGACATGGCATGACAAAGTAAGACATTGTCTTGCCATTGTGAATGCTCTTAAATGAAAGTCTTTAATGTTACATTAACCTCCCCTTAAATCTCTTGAACTCATCAATTTCACCTCGCTTTCACCCTAACCCTCCCTACACCCGACCCTTTTAGTAAAAAACTAACTTTTTTTAAAGGAACATATCATAAATAAAACCATAAAAAATACTTGTATGACATTGATTCAGAAGTAAAAAAATCTTATTTGTCACATTTTGTTTGTCTTTCAAATATAAATTATGAAACATTTAAAATAAACTTTACATTCTATATTTTACAATTTACTATATTTTGAAAGTTCGATTGGAGTTCTTACACGATAGTATTAACATAAGAGCAAAGGCAGTGGTGAGGCATTGCCTCCCACGCCCTGCCACCTTAGCACCTTTTCTCATAATGCCTTGCATGACATCTTCATTCCTCCATGGTTTGAGAGTCATGAGCAAGGCACCTCTTTCCCAATTTTTTTTTTAATTTTATTTTTATTTCTTTTTTTGGTACAATAGAGAGAAATTTTTTATAAGAAGTACATCTATTTTTATAAATAAAAAAAGATAAGTTAAAATATTTTTTATAGTTAAAATATACGGAGTATCAAAAAAGTATAAAAAGAGAGAAAATATTAACTTGTCACTGTATGGAATATTGGAATGTCACTCCTCTCATTTGCTACATGCTGACTAGACTATTTTTGATTGATTGAAAAGTTTTATGTCATCATGTGGTAATTTTTTTTACCTCACAATTGTACATGCTCTAAGCCAATGTAAAATTGTAAACAGAAGATTACCAAAGGGGATCTCTTTCTTTCTCAAAACGAGCATAACGATGCAACCAATTTTGAGTGTCCATTTTCAAGGCATCACTCAAATCGCTGCTCTCTCGTCGTCATCAGCGCGGCAGACGAAGGAATCGAATTTCGCACAATCGGAGGAAGAAACAAAGGTTCCCCCAAGCTCCGATCAGTCAGTTGATTTCTTCTGAGTTTTTCGTTCTTCTTCCTCGGTTCGATGTCGCTGAGAATAAAAGCCGTGGTGGACCAGTTCGTGAAGGACCTGAAGGAGGCGCTGGATGCGGACATACAGGACCGGATTCTGAAGGAGAGGGAGATGCAGAGTTACATCGAAGAACGCGAGCGCGAGGTCGCCGAGCGCGAGGCCGCCTGGAAAGCCCAGCTCTCCCGCCGCGAGGCAAGTCCCCCCCTTTTCTTCTTCCATTCAATCCTTTTTTTTGTGTGTTTTGAAATTCTCATGTATTAATTTTGAATTCTTTTCATGTTTTGGCAACTTAAGCATCTTAAGTTCACCATCATGCTTATTGAGAATTAAGTTTGACCATGTGAATAGTGTCTGGATCTATGGTGGACAGAACATTTTAAGCTCACTCCTTAGAGANCCCCCCCCCCCCCCCCCCCTTTCTTCTTCTTCCATTCAATCCTTTTTTTTTGTGTGTTTTGAAATTTTCACGTATTAATTTTGAATTCCTTTCATGTTTTGGCAACTTAAGCATCTTAAGTTCACAGTCATGCTTATTGCTTGCTTGAAAATTAACTGTTTATTGTGGATTTTTTCTTTTTTGTACTCTATCCTTCCAAATTGGTAAATTCTTAGATGGACCTAAGCTTGATGGATCTTCTTGACAGTCACATGAGCATTTTCATTATGAAATAATAAGCATTTAGTCAATTTACTTTTTATTGATTTGCTTATGTGAGAAGGTCTGTGCATTGTTCTATGGACCTTAAGTCCATGGTCGAAGCACTTTTTCCAGATTTACTTGCCCAATTTCCCAGTTTATTGTGTATGGAATTAGTTGTCGACTTTTCAGATTTAGTGAACAAATTATGATGGGTTTTTAGCACATTACCATTGCTGATCCAAAGGAATGACAAACTCGCTTTAAGGACTTTTTTTATATATATTTTAAGCTCACTCCTTACAAATGAGAAGGGATAGACACGGTGAACGACTTCAGGGTTATATTGGGTATATGACCCTAGATTAGAATGTACGGGATCTAGGATTATAATTGTTGGGTAGATGACATTAGTTTGAACTTTGAAGCTCATGATGGTTGTTTTTACCTTGGTCTGGAGCTTGTATGTGTTTTGGTCCGTAGCTACCATGGGTTGTGTGCTTATTGTCTCTGCCCTCTTACTTTGTTTGTGCTACTTTGTGTACTTCGTTTGTGCGTCTATGTTTGAGCCGGATGTCTCTTAGAAACGGTCTCTCTACTTTCGAGTAGGGGTAAGGTTTGCATACACACATCCTCCTCATACCATACTTTTGTGGCATCTTACTGGGTTCGTTGTTGTTGATGTCTCATCGATAACTTGTTGCAGTCGACAAAGAATTCAGATTTCTGAAAATTGAGTTTAGTACCAAAATCACTAATCTTGTCCATGGAGACTAAAAGTTAACATTTCGTTGGAACATACTAATTGTTTTGCACATGGCAATGGCCAACAAAGTCTGTTTCACCAATAAAAGATCAAACTTCCATTTGGGTATCATTCCGTTATCTTTCTTTGGAAAAGAATGCGGCGTTTGATTGACCTTTGTTCATTCATACACACACTACAACAGGCTGAGATTGCCAAACAAGAAGCAAGGCTAAAGATGGAAAGAGAGAGCCTTGAGAAAGAGAAAAGTGTACTTATGGGAACCGCCTCATGTCAGGACAACCAAGACGGAGCTCTTGAAATAACTGTCAGTGGAGAAAAGTACCGCTGCCTCCGCTTCGCCAAGGCAAAGAAGTGAAGAACATCAACCTGTTTGGGTGTTGGAATTAAGGTATGGAAATTGGAATTGTGGTTAGGAATTTGCAGTTCTTTTGCTTGGACAGATCATTATGGGTTTGATTGACTCTAGTCTCATATAATTCTTTTTAATTCCTATTTGCCCCAGCCAAATCTAGTGATTCTATTGTTTTTGTATGTCATGTGTATATGATTAGAAATGTTCACTAAGTGAAAGAATGATATACATCTTGGCTACCCATAGTTGTTTAAAGAAATAAACTTTGTTTCTGATATATATAATGATTGCCTGACTATGATAGATGGAAATAAACCACTAGTAAAAGTAAAGGATCATGCTACAGTTACACCACGGATGAGACTACTAGTGTTTTACCAACATTCATTTTTCACAAACGTTGACTCTCTATACTTGACTGTCTTTGGTGTCACTCTCGGTGTCATCCCTGAGGTTAAAGTAGCATTGTTTACAAGTAAATTACTCAAGTACGACGAAGTGTCCTACTCCAAGTGTATCAACAATGTCTCTGATTAGAGATGGATGCGGAATTTATAGTACAATTTGTGTCTCGGTCTAGCTTATCTAGCCTTATCTTGTTCTTAGTTCATGCGGTCGATATGTTTTTTATATTGACATTTCGTGTTTTGAGTTTCTAACGTTCTTGAAATTTTACTGTGTAAAATCTTTTGTGATGTTAACGTTTCATATTTTGAGTTCTTAGCATTCATGAAATTTTAGTCACTGTCTAGGTCGAAAAGGTTACGAAGCTTCACGAAAGATTTTGAGGGTGTTTCTCTGTGCTGGTGCTAATTGGCTTATTGCTGATAAGTATATTTTAAGTTATAAATTGCTTATAAGTCAAATATTCTTTCGTGGAAGTAAAAAAACTTAACTGATAGATAAATCATTTGTAAATATTCATAAATGTGAGGTATAATTTTGTAAATAATCTGGTCAAAATGCAGAAACAAAAAAAAAGATTTAAAAATAAGTAGTTAAGATCTACTTATTTTTTCTTGCATATAAGCAGCTTAAAAATAAGTAGTTAAGATATAAATTTGCATTTCAATGTCTATTCTCTCCCAAACTGGACCCCACGCCCCATTCAGCCACCACGCAAATACTCTCTCTATTTCTATTTTTTTGACATAGTTTTTTTAAAAGTAAAATTATAGGGAGTACTCCATACCATTTTGTTTTGGTTAGAAAAGAAAAATGATATGAATCATTTGATACCTTTCTTAAGATTGATGTGAAGTTTATTCTGAGTTGACCTCAAATAAAAAATGAAAAGTGTATTTCAAGAGGAGAGTGTATAATATGACTAATCTTTGTGCAACAATGGGTATGAAAATGCTATATGTACTTGTATGTCTACAAAACTTTTGTGTGGTGTAAGTGTAATGAGTGCCAAACATACATTTATCATTTAATTTCATAAGTGGTAAGAAAATGTTGTTATTGGGGAAAAAATTCTCAATAAAAAAAATAATTTTCGTTTGTATTAGAAGAAAAATTTCTACCCAGTGGACAGAGTCCGGTGACTTCTTTCATCTTCCATCCTCCCGAAGTCCTCCGATTTGGAGGGATGAGCTTTGAGCGAAATGAAGAGACTCTTTCTCCTCCCATAATTTCCTTTCCACCTATTTACTTTCAAAACAGAACAATGAATAAACTCTCTCCCTCCGAGTTTCTCCATGGTTTGAGTGGTAGGAAGTTTACTTTCTATGACTCGTGTGGAAGCTCGCTCAGGTTCGATTCTTACCGAGGGCATAAGCATTGGCTCGTTGTGCGTCATTAAATTGAGAAAGTATAAACAAATACTACATTGTAATCGACTAAATAGCACTAAAAAAAACGGGAGTTGATATTTGCACTCCATATTTGTTATCTACACTCCACACTTTTACTTTCTTTTATAAGTTGACAATTTTAGCCTTTTAATTAAAAACCCTCATTTTGGGTGTAGTGCGGCATATACATTTTAGGCGCTCCACTTACCATGCTTCATTTAATTTACTCAATGGTTGTGTAACTTCTACTCCTATTTTAAATTATAAATCTTAAGCATTCTCACCATCAGTAATGTTATAAAATATAATATAAAAATAATATTATAACAATACATTATAAAAATAAAAAAATAAAAAATATATAATAATATACAAACAATATGTTAAATTTTCATATATTTGCGAGATTGAATATAAAAATAATACTCCATTGTTATAGTTTTGTAAAAAAACAGAACATAAAGAATAAAACACACAAAGAAGGTTGGAACAAGTGAAGTGAATTATTTTAGTAAAAATAAGTATTTTTTTATTAATTTCAATATAATTATGTGATCCTATTGCACAATTTAATGGGATACTATTAATTGCAAAAATATTATTTTAAGCTGCTATATCTGGAATTATTGCATCATTTCAAAAATAATTTAGATACCTAAGGCTTTATGTTTGTAATAAGATAAATAAAATTAGATGTGAGTTGAATTGAAGAAAATTGAAATATATTTAATTTGAAAAAACTAGAATGAATTGGGAAAAAATTAGATTTTGGCATAAACTAAAAATAAAGGAGATGGAAAAAATGAAAGATGCATTAAAAAAAATAAATTGGCAAGTGTTTGAAAGTGTTGGAAAAATATTAAAAAGAGTATAAATACATATTACGGAGTACTGCTCCGACTGTTGTTATTACTCTTGTTTGACTTATTTAGCATTACTACTTTGGTCATAAACAAAATATATTTTTAATTAAATAAGTAGTATAAAAATTTGATAAATAAAAACTATAATTTAAAATGAACTAAATTATACTCCGTATCATATTTACATTATATGTAAATGTACATTTTTAAAAGTTTATGGTCAAAGTTACTACAAAAACCAAAGTAAGACATTAACTTTGGGATGGATGGAATATGTTTTTAAAATTTTTTGTTTTTTATTAAAATAATTTACTTCACTTTTTCAAACCTTTTGTCTGTTTTTAATATTTTTTATCTTCTATTAATTCTTTTACAAAATAATGATATTATTTTTATATTCATCCTAAAAAAATATGAAAAAAATAATATTATATTTTTACATTATATATAATAGTATTTTTATAATGTTTTTGGCTGTGAGTGTGCTTAGGAATTTACATTGAGAATTTACACTCAAAGGAAAAAGTTACAAAACAATTGAGTGATGTGAGCTAGTGCATCAAGGAGGATTTACTAGTTACGAAGGGCAAAGTTGTCAATTTATACAAAGAAAGTAAAGATGTGGAGTATAGGTAACATATGTGGAGTGCCAATATCAACCCCCTAAAAAAACTCTCTCCCTCCTTTCCTTCCAATCCAAACAAACTTTAAGTAGTAGCATGAGTAACTTTAATGGATAACTGTAGACACAGTTTCAAATCCAAATAATTCTATTTTCATTGATCACGGGAGACACAATGTTTGTCAGATCCAAACAATTCTTTATCATCCAACTTTTAAAAGTCTTATCCATCTATACTATACATCTATACTATACTTAAAGACAGGGAAAATCAAGTCCCAAATTTTCCAACCGAAGGTTTGTTGCACAATCCACCATTGATGCGCCATCAATAATTAATCAACGACATGTGTTAATCCCAAAAAATGGAGTAACTCTTCATTTCTCTTACATTAATTACGGATAAGAATGACAACAGGTCGGGTTCGGTTGGATTTTAGTATATTGAAGTCTGACCCGATTTTGGTCGGGTTCGAGTTCCTTTTTATCGGGTCAGGTTCAATTTTTTTTGTTCAGATTCGGTTTAAGATTCGGTCGGGTCGGTAACGGTAAATTTTGGTTTCAATGCTAATAAAGGCATTGATGATTAAACTAAGATTGAAATACACTTAAAAAAAGTTAAAATTTTAAATATGACATAAAAGTTAAGATATTAGCAAAAATAATAATGACCGAATGACCTTTAAAAAAATTAAATAATAAATTCTCAACTAATAATATAAGGAGTACAAAGAAAATAAAATAAGAATGTCACAAAGTTTTTCCACGATAGAAAATAAAATACAAATAAATGGAATAAGTTTTAACACATTCAAAACATATGTATAAAAAATAAATGAATCATAGGGATTTAGAGTTTTTTAAAATCTTATTTGTAGTCAGGTTCAGGTTGTTTTGGATCAGATTCGGGTCGGGTCGGTCAAATATAATGACCGAAACCTGACCCGACAAAAGTCGAATTCAGTGAAAATTTTTCGACTCGGGTATGAATGTTTAATTTTTCGGTTCAGATTCGGATAGTATAAGCTTTGATCGGGTCGTTAAAGGTTGGAATAGAACGGTCCTCCCTAATTACGAAGTATTTTTATTAGGAACACAACCCCTGGCTGGTTGACCGCATTCAATAAGTCAATAACACAACAAATGAACAATAAATTCTAATCTAAATACTTCAAGCTCTTCAACCGCATGCCTAGGAGTGAGCATATTATCCAAACCGATTGTGCAACCGATGTAAAAAAAAACCAAAATGCCCGAAATTTTTGATTTCGATTTCGGTTAGTAGTTATCTAAAAAGTCGGCCACTTCAGTTAATCGGTCGGTTTTCGGGTTTGGGCTTGAATTATTAAACACGACCGAATAACAGAACTCTTACCCAACCCAAAACGACAAAACCCAAAAACCCAAATGGCAAATATCCAATCACTGTCGTTAGTTCTTCACTTCTTCTCTGCGGCTCACTCGCCGACTCTGCCTCACCGGTCACCGTCACCGACCCATCGTTGCCGTTGCCGGGGGGAAGTTGTTAGTCAAGACGACGACAACGAGTTCCGGTATGTACTCCCCAATCTTCATTGGCCATTGAACTTTTTTTCCTCTATTAATTACTCGTATTTAATTATTTTGCTTCCAATTATATTTTTCTTAACCTAAAAGTACGATTCTAGAGGTCTGATTTGAAAAAATTAATAGCAGTTTGGTTTATAATAATCAACCATTATCACTTAATTCAAATAATTTTAAGATGTCTGAGATCATTTTAGCTGTAGCTCGAACTTTTTCTTATGTGCTAATTGGGGGGCTATTAACCAAATGGAGTGGAGATGTTCATAAAGTTCAAAGAGGATTTCAGATTTGGCCGTGTCTTCCGAACATGGCTTCTGATTTCCAGCAGAGATAACCCATGCTTCCATGGTTCCATTGTACTTCATAGATAAGCTCACAAATACACAGTTGACATTGATTGCCAATTCGGTAAAGCAAGATGATGAAAGAAATTCTAAGTTGGAAAATGCAGCCATTCAGTATAACATACCTTACCCACTTTGATGTTTTTTTCCATTTCACAATGATTGTTTCTTTTAAATTTTAAGTTGATTTTGTGCCCAAATTCTTTGAATTATGATAGGATAAGTAATGAATCCATCTGTTCCTTTTTAACTACACAGTGTTGTTTTATTTGTTCTGAAATAGATGTTTCTTTTTTAAGAATATTTTCCCCACTTCTTAGATCTATGAGACAAGCAGTAATGAGGTATTTTTAAAGTGAAAACAAGTGTGCAGAAGCTCTTACTTAAGAGGATGAAGCCCTTGAGATTTCATTGTATATTGAATTAAATATCATATAAAAATTACCCTTAATATTGGTGGAAGAAAAACCATAAAAACACTATTTGATTAAAGCATCAGGCACATTTTTTGCTCTCGGAAATTGCTTTTATATATTTTAACTTTCAATGGTTAAGGAAATTTACTAAAGACCGTAGAGTCACACACCATGCCAAATTTACCTTGCCGCCAAAATAATCACCAAAATTTCCTTCCAGCAATAAGTGATATTAGAGAACACAGAAAACAGATGACTGCCTTTAGCTACACCAATCACTTAAAAAATAAAAAGGTTTATCAGAACCTAAATGTCTCTCAAAGGTTTACTAATGGCTTCCAGCATTATGGATGAATCATGAGTAGCTATTTTTTTTCAACATATATTTGCTCATAAAAAGGTTTATCAGAAGCTAAATGTCTCTCTTAAGTGTTGGCTACTAATTGCCACGTTTAAATATAAGCTCCTAATTACCCATTAGCACCCTTTAGTCACAGGTGTTGAGTTTCGTCTCTGGTTTGGTGTTGAGTTTACTGACCAATTTGTAGTAGGATAATAGCATAATTTTGTAATGTTATATTAGAACATTAGCTTTAAGGAATAGGGATTAGAACATTAGCTTTGAGAAATATGGAGTAATAAAATACCAAATCTATTGATGTTTATCTTAACACCATCAACATCAACTTCTATGACTTTTTATGTGTTGTTTTTGGCTGCTTTCATCCCATTTAAAATTATTTTTTTAGTTTCAAGGCTTGATTTGATGTGTGTTGTTGTGTTTTTATTATTTTGTTTTGTTTAATACAATCTATGAAGTTTTAAGTTTATAAGATCTTGATAGAAATTGTATTCTTATTTCTCTTTTTTTTCTATTTAAGTTTATTTTTAAGAAAAGTTGATCATTTATTTCCTGTTTGCATCTTAAATGTGTTAGTTCATAAAGTTATTGATATCTTTGTTCCAATGTTACAAATTGTCACGGATTGAAGATTCTAATTTGCAACAAAGTAAATGTACCCATGAAATGTACCATTAATTACTCAATGAGTAAGTTTTTGCGAATTTGTAATTTCTATAAATTTTATGTTTTGATATAAGAATGTTAGTATTTTTTAGTTGTTGCCCCATCAATGGTACCCTTCTTTAATACTAACACAATAAAATGATTTTAGATTGAAATTGCCTGCCATGCAACGCACGCGTGTGATACTAGTTGGCTAAAACTACTTGAAAGTTTTAATCTTTGAAGCTTCTTTCAAATGGTTATTTTCTTTCCGCGCACACGGTGCTCGACGAATTGTCTGAACGAATCACTCAACAGACTGCTATCGACTACATCTACTAATATTAACATCTCTCGAGCCCCTGCAACCAATTTCATAAATGAACGGTGGAGCAATGATTACATTATCTCTTTGTGCAAACGCAAGCAATTTAGAAGAGCTCTTGAGGCGTTCGAGCAATTACAGAGGACTACAAGTTTCCACGTATACCCCAGCACCTATACTAATTTGTTATCGGCCTGCTCATCGTTACAGTCATTAGAATCTGCAAGAAAGCTATACAACAATGTCTTAATGTCTGGTTATAAGCCATATGTGATATTTCATAACCATGTTCTTAATATGTTTGGAAAGTGTGGATCAATGAGGGAAGCTAGGAGGGTATTTGATCAAATGGTTGACCGAAATGTGGTTTCTTGGACTTCAATCATTGCCGGGTACTCCCAAAATCACCAGGAAATGGAAGCAATAGGATTGTATTTCCGGATGCGAGAGTTGGGAATCATGCCTGATCCGTTCACTTTTGGGAGCTTATTAAAAGCTTGCTCTAGCTTGGGTAAGCTGGAGTTAGCAGAGCAGTTGCACGGTCAGGTCATCAAGTCAGCACATGGGTCCCATCTTATCCCTCAGAATGCATTGGTAGCAATGTATACAAAGTTTCGTAGGATTTGCGAGGCAGTGAATGTGTTTTCTCATATCAAGTCAAAGGACCTAATCTCGTGGAGTTCAATAATTGCCGCGTTTTCGCAACTTGGGTATGAGCTGGAGGCTCTGTATCACTTTAAGGAGATGTTTGGTTTGGGCATTTACCACTTGAACGAATTTATTTTCGGCAGTGTTTTCAGTGCATGCAGTGGTCTTGTGCAGCCCGAATACGGGAGACAAGTCCATGGTATCTGTGTAAAATGTGGGCTTGGAAAAGATGTTTATGCCGGTTGTTCTCTTGCTGACATGTATGCAAGATGTGGCCTGTTAGAATCTGCAAAAACTGCATTCTCCCAGATAGAAAACCCTGATTTAGTGTCTTGGAATGCAATTATTACTGGTTTTTCTTCTAACTGCGATTCTAATGAAGCATTAATTTTATTTTCACAGATGAGGCATGCTGATTTGGCTCCAGATGATCTCACGATGCGCTCTCTCTTGTGTTCCTTTATTAGTCCCTTCACACTGTCTAATGGAAAGCAGGTACATTGCTTTATAATCAAGACCGGGTTTGATTCAGACATTCCAGTATGTAATACATTGATTTCAATGTATTCAAACTGTTCAGATCTTTCAAGCGCAGATATGATGTTCAATGAAATTAAACACAATGCAGATCTAGTTTCATGGAATGCCATTCTCACAGTTTATATACAACACAACAAGGCCGAAGAAATTTTGTCCTTGTTTAAGATGATGCTTCGTCAATCTCCTAATAATAAGCCAGACCACATTACTCTAGTCATTGTGATCAGTGCTTGTGGGAAGTTGGCATCTTTAGAAATGGGAAACCAAACACATCTCTATGCTTTGAAAACCGGGCTTGCTCTGGACCCCACAATCAGTAATGGGCTAATCGACATGTATGTGAAATGCGGTTCTTTGGGAAATGCCAGGAAGCTCTTTGAGGCTTTGGACATTGCTGATGTGTTTTCATGGAGTAGTTTGATTGTGGGGTATGCTCAGTTTGGACAAGGCAAAGAAGCTTTAAAGCTCTTTGGGGAAATGAGGGATTTAGGGGTCAAACCAAGCCAGGTGACGTTTGTTGGGGTCTTAACGGCTTGTAGCCATGTTGGATTGGTGAAGGAGGGTTGGCATTTGTTCAAACAAATGGAAACGGAGCACGGCATTGTACCCACAAGGGAGCATTGTTCATGCGTGGTTGACATGTTTTCCCGGGCTGGATGTATAAACGAAGCAGAAGCTTTTATAAACCAGATGCCTTTCGAACCAGACATTGTGGTATGGAAAACAATGTTGTCGGCCTGTAGAACCCACAACAATCTTGAGGTTGGAAAGAGGGCTGCACAGAATGTTTTGAGGATTGACCCGTCCAACTCTGCTGCACATGTGCTGCTGTGCAACATATATGCCTCCACTGGGAATTGGAAGGACTTTGCAACAGTGAAAGGTTTGATGAGACAGAACGGCATAAAGAAAGTCCCGGGCCGGAGTTGGATTGAGCTCAAAGATGGGACACATGCCTTTTTGGCTGGAGACCGTCTGCATCCCGAAAGAGAGAAAATATATGCAATTCTTGATGAGCTTTGCTCCCAAATGTCGGATGCCGGTTATGATCCTCTGATTCATGTAAGAGATTCAGAAGTACTTAACTGTGAAGATTCTCTTGGTGGTGATTCCATTCTGAAAGGCCAATGTGATTGAAGTAACACAATGCTTCATAGATTTATCATGACTTGACATGTTTTTTATGTGAATCAAGGAGAAGAGATAAAAGGAAATGAACTATTCAAGCAATAAGAAAAAAACAAACCCAAGAAAATCCCACGAAAATCGGGTCTATAAGGAACATGATGCTGGAGGAAAATAGGGATCTGCAGAGACAGCTTTTGCAGAGACATGCAAAAGATCTTTTGGGTTAGTTTCATTCTCTCTTGCAAACTTTCTTTACCCTTTTATTTTGTTCATAAGAAGGGTGATGATGAATTATTGCTTTAGAAAACTGAAAGGGTCCGTTTGGTACACGGAATTGACGGAATTGGAATTGAATTGAGAGTTGAAATTCCATGGAATTGATTTGGATGGAATTGAATTTTCCAATTCCAATTCATTTTTGGCACTACCAATTCCAAATCCACATATTTTTATGCTACCAAATAGCAGAATTAGAATTGTTGTCCCCAATTCCTATTCCATAGTTTGAATTCCGTGTACTAAACAGAGCCAAATAGAATTTTGAAACCCATTATTCTGGATGATCAAAAGATCAGCTTTCTCTAACCAGTTTCTTGATTTATTTTACAGAAACTCAGAACGGATGGTTGGGCGGGCGGAGGAGAAATAATTAGTGAGGATTCTAATAGCAATTGTCATTCTTGATTTTTTTGCCTCATGAATACTGTTATCAATGAACATTAAAAAAAAAGTATCCGACCTTTTGTTCTGAACAGATAGTATTCATTGTACGATATGTTTGCCCTGTATTTCATCAGAAATTTGAATGATGCTAATGTTTATTTTTTTTTAAATACATATAGTTTCTGCCTACTTTCTCCTCTTCTCTTCCGCGTCAAACATTTAACGCAAATCAAATAACGCCGGCTTTAACTACAAAGGTGGGTCGTGTTTAACGCTATTGAGGCATTAGAACATGTATAACGGGGGAATGTTAAGAGTATTTCCACTGCCCTTATTGTATTCATGTTTTTTTCGTGTGGATAGAACTCCATTATTCTTCTTCTTATTATTCTTATTGTTATTATTATTATGATCATCATCATAATGATTATTATTATTATATTTTCAATTTGGCCAAATGTCAAATGTTTCTGTTGAGCTTTCCTATTTTCAATTTTTCTTATATTATAACTACGGGAAAGTAACATTAACATTTTAAGAATTTCATTAAATATCGTAGTACGATAAAAATATACCCTGTAAAATTTATTATTCAAATAAAAACTCTTTTTTATTTTGATTTAATGTTTGGGTATTATTTGATAATAAAAGTCATTTTAGCTATAAGTGCGTTGGAAGTTTTTAATTAGACATTTATTCTTAATACTTTATCTATAAAAAAATTAAAGTATATGTTTGTTTTATTTTTCAAACATTTCAATATAAAGTTTATATTTCATTTAAAAAAATATTTTAAACTCTCTATAACATAATTTCACTTTTTCTATGTGAAAAAACAAATATAAACCTTTTTTTTTTCTGAAAGGCACAAACATATTTTTTTTTTGAGAAATAGAGTAGAAATTTCTGGATAATTCCGGTTGGGTCTTGGGTCCAACCCCATCTTGTTGTGCAAGCAAATCTGGTCTAAGTTTACAAGAGGCCGCCAGACAAAAACCTCGTTAACCAATACTTTACCTGCCCATCATCGGAAAATCCCCATTCTTTCGTTCTTCTTCTTCTTCTTCTTCTTCTTCGTGGAGCTCTAGGGTTTTGAGGGCGCGAGCTGTTCAGGGATGGTAATTACTCTTTCTTCTCTTTTCTTTCTTTGTCTCTGTAACGCAGATTGAATTAAGGTCCGGTTCCACCGATTTTTTCCTCTCCGATTTAATCACAGTCAATGAAATTTCATTAAATTTTTAGGAAAGTTTTGTTCTTTATTGGCTTCCAGATCATACCGGCCATGTCTGATATGTGATGATTTTAATTCATATAATTCCTGCTGACCTTTATTCATTTTTTTGACATTTTTTGTGGTTAAGTTCAAATCTTTACTAAACCTTTCATCCTTTATGATCACTAATCAATCCATTTACTAGAAGATTTTGAGATGATTTTGAATTCAGTGCTCCGAAAAGAGCTAAGCTTCCCTTAGGGTTATACTAGAGCCAAGCGCCTATTCGTGATGACTAATTCGTGATTATTTTTGGCAAAGATATATATTAGGCGTCCCTTAGGGGTATACTTGTAAAAAATGCTCAATTCCTAGCACACTGCAGGCTTAATTCATAAGAAGTTTCATGCTTTATCAGGCGTGGAGTCAGGAGTCTAAAACAAAAAGTTTGAGATTTGTAGATAGGGAGAGAGGGAATTGTTTTTTTTTTTTGAGAAAATTACCTAAGGTAGGACTAAATCATTGTAGATTTACATGAATGGAACCAATTTTTATTTTACACGGACAGGGCCTATAAGGTCCTATTCCTGTGCATCACATTGCTTCCATGCCATTTTTACCCTTACGTTCTTTATCTTTTTTAAGGAAGAGAGAACATAGGTGTGTGGGCAATTTAGTCAATTTATGTAGGTTTTAGTCCCATGTTTAAAATGATTCCTATTTGTGTCAACTAGCCTTGCTTTAGTTCTATTCTTGTAATTTTCTCTAGTTTTTTATGCATTGGCTATGCTGATGAGGCATGAGCAATGCATGTGGTTGACCCCATTGGTAGAAGCAAACTTTGGCCATCAATGGGGCTGTTTGTAATTATCAAAGCAACACACTTTCCTTCAATTGTACAACAACAACAAATGAAGTATAATCCCAACGGAGGTTGGAGGGGTCAATATGTATGTAGCCTTACCTTTGTAAAGAAACAAAGAGGGTCTTTTTTTCAGACCCTTGATGCATTTTGATTATGTCTGTGATTTTCCTAAAGCTAAAACATTGTCAAAAATAAGTCTTCTAACTTCATTTGCGATGGACGGGATTTCTTTTAGCTGTGTAATCTAAATATATTGCAGGCGACCCCATTGATAGCTGGAGCAGCCATTGCAGCTGCTGCTTATGCGGGTAGGTATGGGATTATAGCATGGCAAGCTTTCAAGGCAAGACCACCGACTGCAAGAATGCGTAAATTTTATGAAGGAGGTTTCCAGCCTAAAATGACAAGGAGGGAAGCGGCTCTTATTCTCGGTGTCAGGTATGCTTTGCTCTTTTCTTACTCAGACACAACGCGCAAAAATTGATTGCCGAGTGCCAACTAACTTTTTAATCTTCCAAAGCTATGCTTGCACTTCAAAGATGTCCTCTTGCAGTTCCTTTGAATTTAAATATACTACTCCGTATGTATTATCTTGACTCTAGATACATTAATTTAGTTATCATTTTCACAGGTTATAATTCTAAAGATAAATATATGTGTGGCATCATTAACTACTATTACTTTACCATTCGTATAATAATCCAAGTACAACAATACAACAAATTTCCACTGTCTGTTCCTTTACTGCTTACCCTTTGCTTCGGACTTTAGTTATTCGTTTTTTTATTAAAGAAATAAGAAATGTTCTAAATCAAAAGCTCAATGTTGGAGAGCTTTTCAAAAAGATTTGATGCCTATGTAAAATATAGAAAAGGAAAGATGACTGCTTTGTTTAGAATTTTTCACATTCCACTTTTTCCTCAATGGTGTTTGTGAATTAATTTATTGTGTTTAGTCATTAACTACTCGATGATTGAACAGAGAGAGCACTCCACAAGACAAAGTGAAGGAAGCTCATAGGAGGGTAATGGTAGCTAACCATCCAGATGCAGGGGGCAGCCATTATCTCGCTTCCAAAATTAACGAGGCAAAGGACACTCTTCTTGGAAAGACAAGAAATGGCGGGTCTGCATTTTGATCTTGAGCCGCGGCATTCTTCCGAAAGACTGAATCACAAAATCTCTATCCTTGGAGTTGGACGCCTTTAATCAAATCGCTTGTGTACTGAAGTTTCTATATTTTCCTGTATCCATCCATGGAAGAATTTTGCTGAATCCCAAGATATATGAGAATACAACTGTAGTATTTTATTTGCTTTGTAAATCCTGTATCATTTTCATTTGAATGCAAATGATGATTGACTACTTGTGACTGGTATGTGCATCAAAGGGTCTTTTTTGACCCACAAGATGTGTTTGGTTAGACAATGGTATTCATTATTAAATAATGTATTGTCAAAAGAGTCCAAATAATCTAGGAACTTTTACAAGTACCAAAAATTTAAATTTTGGATTAGTGTTTAGAGTTTTCTTGACTCATCAATTCTAGATTTAGCATGTTTAAGTTATGTTTGGTTTGAGAGATTTGGAAGGGAAGAAAGAACAATGTTTCTCTTCACCAAAATTAAAACAAACTAGTATTTTGACCCGTGCGACGCACGGGGTTAAACAAAATTTTTGTCGATTTTGATTTTTTTCAGTGTAATATATTCTCCGGAATCAAGTAAATATATTTCTAACACAATTTTTAATTAATGCAAAACGACAACATTAGAATAAATCATATTTGAGGAAAAGAAAGTGTACTCGAAAAAACCTTATTTAATTCCAATTTTTTGAAAGACTTTAGGGTGCACAATATTTTTGGTATGGTTGTAAATGTTTCCATTGTTATCTAGAACCAATATTTTTAATCATATCTTTGCCTTCATTCGTGAAAAAGAAACATATAACTAACCATGACTAAATACTAAATTGGTTAAAAATAATACAACAAAAGACAATGTTTGACCTTAACTTTTGTTAATAGTCATAGTAAAATATAAAATTATTGAGAATTATTTTCTCTAGAATTTCTTAGGTAGTCTTGAATTAGATGATACCAAATTCATTCGGGGTATGAAAATCTTTTTCTCAATTGAATTCATGAAACCTCAATTGCAGTGATAATGTTCTTTCTCAACTTTTAAACGATTAATCTTCTATCATTACACAATCCAGATATTTAGTCAATGTTCTTCAATGATATAGTCAGTACCCCCTTTTTAAAAACTATTTTGTGTTTTAGGATCCCCGAATATTTGATTTAATTAAAAAAACTAAAGTGTTATCCAATTGTCTTCAACAACTACTTTTAAATCAGCTTTGCATAAGGGATATGAAAAATTCATTATCATTCAACAAACTTGAGTGCAGGTGCTAATAGTGCACTATCCTAAAAAAATTCATGTTCTCTAATAGATTCGGATAAGTGAAGTCCACTATAACTCTTGAGTGGATAACTTATTTCAAGAATCAAGAATGCAGAAGGATTTAATTTCAATGTCAGCAGTTCCATCGATCACTTGTCTAAGTTTTCCATCTTTGACTTTGATATCCAATCAGAAAAAGCTTATGTGTCCTTGTCTGTGTAAGAGAGTGTAGATTAATGCAATCTCATATTTTTTTATCAACGTATAAAATTTACAATACAACTACATTTCTGAGGATTTGATGGTAGCACCTACAATTTCCTCTCTCAAAGCTATGAGTAAAACTGAAAGAATTTGGATAAATCTTCTTTGAGTACAAAAGTTTTCCCTGTGAATGGTTCATTTATGAATTTATTATTAGAGAACCTCATTACATCTCTCATTGTGTAATCCAATGTCTCAAAAGAAAATATATGCATCGTAGATGATAAATCTCATATGATTATACTTACTTGTTGGATTAGGTCTGCTTTCGGACTCCATTGTTTATTGTCACAAAATGAGCACTCGGTTAGCACCAAAGGGATAAAAAATCTCAACTCTCCTCCCCCTAGGCAAAAGCAATGCTACAATGTAGTTGGATGCGACATTCAGGACAACCTTACCATTTGACCTTAGAGAAGCAGACAATGACTTCTAGAGAAATATTTTTCCAGTTCCACCATAACCATGGACAAAAAAGAACTCCCTCTTTCAGCTATCACGACTTCCATTATTTCATTAGATATGTTCGACTGATCTTCATTCATCGTAGATAAATATCCTCTAAGATTAAATGACAACTTTTCTTAGTCATAGTTCAACTTCTCTATCAAAAAACTATTTTGATATCTATTAAGTTGATTGTCATCTCCAAATGGCATGCACTTGAATTCCTTTAAAGGTTGTCCCTTTCAATTAAGCAACTTTTCAATCTCAATTAGACATAAATTCTTAAGGTCTTCTCATGAGATTATAAGCTCTGCAAAAAAAGAATTATTTGTTTCTATGTAGTGCTCAATTAAAGAGTTTTTTTCATATAATGCGTTTCAGATGGATTAATACATTAAAAAACTATCTTTATATTCAAGTACCTTGATTCCAAAATATTCTTATTCGATCAAATAAAATTCCATTCACCAAGAGTTCCTATAATTTTTTCAAAACAATTTATGGGTGACTCATGGTACGCGGAAAAACAACATTTTAGCATATTCCTAAATCCTAACTTAGCAATCTCTTTTATACCTTCAATAAGTTCTTTATCATCGGTTAATAACCTCAATGCTTCACATGCTACCTCAAATACGCTATGTAGAACATTGTTAACTCTCATCAAGCTCTAATAGCTTGTACATCCTCGCTGGACAACTAATAATACACCTCTGGTTTTCGTAAGCACGTATTGTAGTCTGCCTATTGATGACCTTTGTTACATCGGAACCATTTCCGCACTTTAATTTATGATTGTACACACAAAAATTGGGAAATTCTTTGCATACATTAAATTTTATCCCACATTATATTGTGTATTGGAAATCATCCAAGCTTCAAACATTGAAGCTTTGTCAACATTTTCTTTGACAATATCTTTTAGCTTTTTTTTATCTCTAAAGTTTACAAATTTTAGCCATGGAAGATGAAAATTCAACCTCGAGTGCATATACCATATTTATTTACGTAATACTTTCTTACATTGTTTATAATATCTTATACATAGAGTTAGTTAATACACGAAGATAATTGTTTTATTATCATCTTCAAAGAAATTAAAACATGTGTTATAGAAGATAGATCCATATGTTTCTTATGCACTTAAAAGCATGATGAATTGTGTAATTATTCCCGGATCGGAGCACTGTATAGATTTTTTTGGGAAAACATTATTGGAAAAATTAAATATTCAATTCAGAATAATAAAAATACCATTTGTCACATCATAGAGTACATCCTTTCTCGAACGTGTTCGATGATGCAAGGTTATAGTCGATGACGACCTCTCTCTTTCTGTATGTGTAATAACCATCATATGTACTGCAAAAGCAATACATATGTACATGTTTGTTTACTACCTACCAAAATAGAACATAATCCCACTGAACACTGCCTAGGAAGGAGGATTAAAATTTACTCTGTAAAAAAATAGATCTACGGTAAAAAAAATTCCCAAACTTCTCAATCGCCTCCTACGGACCAAAATCAAAGCAATGAAGTTTCCTTTGATTTTGAAGAATATGAATTCGATATTTCATTATTCTTATTAATATACAACAACCCAGTTGAATCTTACTACAGTAGGGTCTAGATATTATTCTTATTAATATAATGTTAATTATTGTTAAATAAATTAATGAATAGACTTTATTTTATTATAACACAATGACCCATTTTCTACCTGTCATACACGGCCCCTCATTTCTCAAAGACAACCCTGAATATTACTTATTTATTTTATTTTGACATAAATGTCAAAATAGGCATGTTTTTTTATTTTCAAGAAATTAATACCAATTACACTTATAATAGTTATTATTATACCATAAATATTTTGATTAGGAACACCAGTTAATAATTAATTTCTTACACATAAATACTCACATACTAAGTCATCATCATATTAAAATTTATTAATGAAAAATAGTAATTTTTTGGAACATATCTATAAATTTTTACAAAGTTAGTAATAGAAAATAATAATTTAAAAATGGAAAATACTAATTTTAAAATGTAACATACTTGTTATTTGACTTAGAATTTTTTTAATATATATGATATACAATTATTGCTCTATGAAATAAGCATGCCCATAAAAATCCGTTTTCTTTTATATATTTGTTTCTCTTTTTTCAAAGTTGGAATATCTCTCTAATTAGTATTAATTCAAAGTAAAAAAAATATTCATATGTAATTTCTTTTAGTCTTACCAATCTATCGGTTTTAGAATAAATTTATTTATTTTGATTATTGTTTTTGAATATGAGTTCTTTTTTCAATTTCAAAACATATTATTTAATTTAAATATTTTCCAACAATGAATTAAGATATAAAAGTTTTTAAACGCGATTATGCTGAGAAATTTGTGTGTAACAAATACGAAATTTAATTTCCATTGAATAAGTTTTTTTGTTACCTAATTCTTTAAATATAACTTGATGACATGACATTTTGACATGTTAAAAAAATTGTCTAATAAACGCGCCACATGTCACAATTCTAGAAGCCCAACTCTCAAATTTTTTATATAAAGATTTGTTCTCTCTCATTCTCTTCCTTCCAATATTTATTTCTATTTCTCTCTAACAACAAAACAAAGAAAAATATTTTCTAATATCATTTTTCTTTTCTTTTTAATTTTAAATTTCGTGAACCAAAATATAGTGTTCATAATGCAAATCAATGTCAAACCCGCAGATTATGATGTTCCCAGCTTTGGTTAGTTTTTGTACGTTTATATGCTTGGCGTGCACAAAATTTGTTACTTGTATTTTTTTTTACAATTTACAAACATAACTTGTCTACAGACCCACAAGTTTTGGGTGGTATTGAATATTGACCACTTATACGGACTATCTATAAAACATAAAAAAATGAATGTAAATTTTTAAAATGCAACTTATGACGTACAAAAAAAACTTTGGATGTACAAAATAGTATAGCTCATATCCATTTACAAGTATTTCTTTCATCTCAAATTAAACTTCCTATAATTACAAATAAAATAAAATAAAATACTCCTTTTGTCCACAAATAAACTTTACATTGCGCGTTACAATGTTTGACTGAAGTTATTTTTAAATCATTTAAAAGAAAAATGGTGTGAAGTTTTAAAATAAAAATTACATATTAAAAAATTATATCAAAAGATCTACAAAACTAGAGATGACATGAGTATATTATTTTATCAAATGAGTAACGAAAATAGGCCAACAAAGTGAATAAAGTTTGACCATATGAATAGTGAACGTAAAGTTTATTTGTGGACGGAGGGAGTACATTATTGAGATATTGATATGAGAGAAATAATGTGAATAAGTTTTTGTTTGGGACAGATACATTTATTTAACTAAAGGCCCAACTGGATAAGGCGCCTCCGGCAGACAGGACGGTCGTCGATCCCTACATAAGCAGGCGGCGTCCCCCCTACCCGCCATCTCCGGCCAACGGCACTGTTGCGATCTCCAAGCGCGGCGTTTCCTTCGCAGCTTAGCTATGGCGACGGAAAAAGAACCCGACGAAGGACAAAGGAAACAGGCTTTGAGGCGTTAGACCGGAGGTTCGCTCAAGCCGAATCCGTTCTTCGCCGTCAATAGGAGCTCCTGAGCAAGAAGCAAAGAACTAATACTAGCGCCACTTCTACTTGAAATCAAACTCCTGATAAAATCGCTCAGAAACAGCTTGTCCCCAACACACAGACTTCGAACACACCATCTAAGAAAGGTTAGTTTTTTGTGTCTAAATCAATAAAAATTCCATCTTGAAATTATGCCCCCCACCCCCACACAATTTTTTGGTTTTTGTGTGCCCTAATGCGCATTTAGTAAAACCCAGTTTTTTAATGTTAGATTATGTTATGAGTATATAGCCTTTAGTGGGTTGAATTGGTTCTTTGACATGATTAGAGAGCCTTCTTGGCCAAGAGAGGTCACTAGTTTGAAAACCATGATTGAGTTGGTGAATTGATGAACTATATATAAAGATAGAAAACTGTGGGTCATTCATTACTGATGTTGGGATTTGATTTCTTGAGCCTATAAAGATGAAGAATTAAGTGTTTCCACATTCTTTTACTAAGCATGCACTAGAGCTATGAAGCAGCAGTGTGTTACCATTACTTCACTGTGTGGGTGTGTGTGGGTGTGTGCTCTTCAACATGGATTGAGTTCTGACTTCCTATTATTTGCTAGTTGAAGCTTGTGAAAAAAGATCTTTCTATGTATATGATGCTTGTTTAATTTCATGCTTTTTTTAGGAATTGTTTCATTTATAGGTCTTTCCTCATCACATGCATGGTATACTCCTAATTCAAACTTTTATTTTTTCACTTTGAGGTATTAATAAAAGCAATGTTTCTTATTGGGTGATCATTTCTATGTGCTGAGATGTTCNTAGAATCAGATTATCCGGCATACCTCCAACTTGCTCATTCAGTTGATATGAATCTTCTTTCGACGGTTGGCGAGGTAATATTCTTCTTGATTTAGATTTATCCATTGGACATGCCTCTAGAGATGTTCTTTGATGAGAGCTTAGTTTAAGATGTGCTTGGTTACTATAAGTTGCTAATGATAGAAACACCTCAAACACGGTAGATTTAACCATTGGACATGCCTCTAGTAATTATGTTATGATTCCAGCTGGGCATTGGGGTATACTCCTTTGCTAGCTTGGATTTTTGAAAGATTTTGCTTTACATTGTATAACAATGATCTGAGTAGCAAAGTGATACTTCTCAAATTTGAATTTGATAGCTCTCTAATGATTTAGGGTTTGTTTGGAAAAGAAATAGAGAGGAAAATACATACGGAGTAATAAATTTGGAGAAAAGAAAATAGTAGTCTAAGTTATATCACATCCGTAACGTAAACACTTGATTTTCGTGAAAAGGAACTTGTACTTAAAGAACAAAGTGTTTTAAGAAAGTGTCTAAAGACTTGCAAAAATAGACAGAGGTGACATTTCTTTTTACCATTTTCAGCTCCACTTTATACCACTTTTCTGTAATCCATTGAAATGTGGCCTAAGGTCCATGTGACAGATTCCTTGATGTCATTGTGGTTGATAATTTATTACATTGGACAAATAGTTTGTTTTCATGATTTTCATAAATCTGGCTATCCTCTAGACCTCTACTTACTTTCTTTACCCCTTTTGGTTACTTTGTAGGCATGAGATCTACAAACCAATGCATGAAATGTGGAAGTGCTACATATAGAAACTTATAAGAAGTGCTGGGTAACAATTTGTTTTAACTTTCTCTAAAGTGCTGCATTTTTTTACCAGTTACTGCGCTTCTCATTACTCCATTGTTATTGATTCCTCCTGCTATTTTTGACTAGCTGGATTTGCCTTGCAGGAAAAACCAGATGACACAAACTCTCCTGAATGTAGACTATTACGGTGCACAAATTCTTGGTTGACCTATACACTAATTTTTTTATTTGTACACTACAATGATTCATATATAGGCTTGCACGTTTAAAAGCTGCAAAACCATTTTTTACTTCAGTTGCAGAGTGCAAGTTAGATGGGTATACTGGACTGTGTGGTATCATAATCCGCGAAACTGCAGAAACATTTGGAATAATAACAGAAGACAATAGATTCAAAGGTTTATGTCACTCGTTTAGCATTCGAAGTCTGTTTCTGTGAACTTAACTCTTTGCAAACAAACAAAAAATGTTGATAGGCAAATTCTTCTATGGACCTTAGGATCATGGGAGCACAACTCTTGCTGATAAGTATAATCCATTCATTCTCATTTGTTCATTGTAATGATGATTTGCAGTTGTGCCAAAGAAGCTCTCTGTCTTCATGCTTCAAGTGGATTCATGGAAGGTTACAATGACCGGCGACAAACTTGCTTCAAGAAGCATGGTTTCATAGGTGATTTGTAGTATTAATTTTTAGCTGTTTTTTGTAGAATGCATATTACACATCTTGCAGAACATGTGACATTAACTTTTGATTTCATGACTTACATCTGGAATAGAAGAGACATGCCCAAAATTAAAAGAATAAAAAATCTTGAAAAGAAAAGGTATTTGTTTCCTACAAATCAAAAGAGATAAGATATGGATCATATTTCAAAAGAAACTAAAGAATCTCATACAAAACCACAAAGCATGGCAATATAGCTCTTGAATCCAAAACCATAAGCTTCTCAGACCCATCCATATACTCCACTGAATCAAAAGTGCCATCTTTTTCTTCTTCCCCACTCACTATATTGCCATTGCTGCAGCGAGCAACGCGACCTGCAATCACTCTGCAAACCACAATCGCCGCTCTCATGTTTCCATGGCCGCATCTCTCAACTCTTCTGTGAGCTCTCCAACTTGTCTTGGAAAGCATCACCGGCGACCTCCCCATTGCTTCACTGTTCATACAGCCACCTATGGTCCTACACACCCCACAACTCTTCCTCCTACAAGTGGTCGAGAATCGATCAAACCCTAACAAACAAGTAATGCCAGTGCCCCTATACCTCAAGACCTCATTTCCATCCCTTCTTACGCCGCTCTCTCTCCCCTTTGACTTCACAATGTTTCTGTAAACTTCAAACCTCTTATAAGCCGCTTCGCCACAGTTCACCCTAAAAACTTTTTGGATTCTGTACCCAACATTGTGCTTCCACCCCGCGCGAAAAATCGCGTCCACTTCGGCGACCTCTTCTAATGGCTCAATCTCTTTGAACCTTGGAAAAGAAAGAACCCTTTTTGCATGGGAATCAAAACTCTCTTGGGGTTTGGGATTTTGATTGTTCTTTGGAGGAGGAGGAGGAGGAGGAAGAGGGGTTCTCTCTCTTTTTGGGGAAATGACACTTGACTTTGGCTTGAAACATCTAATGGTGGAACTTGGGTGGCAAACCAGGATTGCTAAAGAAGTCACCATCAGACATTTTTCTGACATTGTTGGTGCTTAATTACATACTCAATTCAAAAGGGTGATGAGAAATATTTGCATGGAATATTATATACTTGGATGTATATTATTTAAGGTAATGAATGATAAATATTTTTATTCATTAATGTAAGAATTAGACATTTGAAATTCAAAACAAAATTAAAAAAGATTGTGATTTCTTAAGGACTTGAGTTGCCATCTAAATTAATGCCATGATTTATGTTAAGCTAGAGGAGCTTTTATTACTCCCCCTTTTATTACTCCCCCAAGAAGTAAAACTGCATAAAGAAAAAAAAGAACTGCATATGCAATTGCTTTTATGGAGTATAATTTAAAAAAAAGTAGCTAAACAAAATTCTCTTTTTCTTATTATATTTCAACCATATTCTTTTTTTTGTTTAACATTTTTCTTAAACTGTGTGAATACATGCTTTTTATACGATGCAATAGAAATCATTAATTTTTGAAGAAATCAACGCTAATCAAAAGTAAAATCATTAACACACAAAAAATAGAGATTTTAAAATTTACACAAGGAAAGTGTATCTTCAAATGTACTAATTAATATCAATCGATATCCACAATCCGTTTTATCCAATTCACATATGATTAAGATTTTATTATTGAGAAAATTCTGTAAATTTTAGAAATCAATCACGAATTATTTTATTATGCCAAAAGATCCAAAACTTCAATCATTAATCACGTGATTCACATCAACAATGCATCCAAAAAAAATCCATTCATAAGGTCTAAAGAGGTCGGTTATACGTAAAAATTTAAAATTTATTAAATAATGTTATTTAGAGACGTAATAGTGATTAGCCATCCGAGTATTAATTAATTTTAGATTTTTTATTTTAATTTTATTTTTCTTAACATTTTCTTTTCCTTTTCTAACTTTTTGAATCAAATATGCTATATAATACAATACTCCTTCCGTCCAAAAAAGAATGTCACGATTATTATTTTGACATTTCGATAGCTTTTGTTTGTTTACTAGTTTTGGTTAACCATTTCATTAAATAAAATATTCTTGTCGCATCTTATTTTGTAGAATTTTTTTGTGTAATTTTGAATGATATAATTTTTACTTTTTATTTATTTACCAATTTATAAATAAAATGATTTTAAAAGAAATACGGAGTAATATTTTATTCATTCTTTGAAATGTTGTAAACAATTTGTGATGAAAGGAGTATAAGTTAACTGGTGGGAAAAAAAAGCACTTCGGATAACATAAAGGCAAATCCTACCAGGAAATTGCTGTCCAGTACTCTCGGTTTTGTGATAAGAACTCACAAGTCCCATCTTTTTTAAAAATATACTCCGGAGTATCTTTAATTATTCGAAAACTAACTTCGGGGGGACATTCCGTCCATTCCTCCGTCAAATTCATTTTCTCTGTTATCTTTTCATCATTTTCTTTCCAAATATTACTATTAGGTACTCCCAATTTTGTAAAAGTAGCTTTCAGGTCCCATCATTTTTAAAAATATACTCAGGGGTACCCTAAAATATCCAAAAAGTTACTATGGGGGATTTTCCTTTTTTTTCTTTTTTTATTATTATTATTATTATTATTATTATTATTATTATTATTATTATTATTATTATTATTATTATCATTATTATTATTGCGATTATTATTACTATTTTATTACTATCACGATTATTATTATTATTATTATTATTATTATTATTATTATTATTATTATTATTATATTTATTATTACTATTACTATTTTATTACTATCACGATTATTATTATTATATTTATTATTATTATTACTATTTTATTACTATCACGATTATTATTATTATTATATTTATTATTATTATTATTATTATTATTATTATTATTATTATTATTATTATTATTATTATTCTAGTGCGTGTAGCAAAAATCCAACACAATTCAATACGCAAAGCAGGTTCTTGGATATTTTAGGATACCCGGAGTATATTTTTAAAAATCATGGGACCTGAAAGTTATTTCTACAAAATTGAGGATATCTGACAATAATTTTTGGGAAGAAGTTGATGAAAAGTTAACAGAGAAAATGAATTTGACGGAGGGATGGACGGAATGTTCCCTCGGAGTTAGTTTTCAGATAATTAAGGGTACCCCGGAATATTTTTTAAAAAAAGATGGGACCTATGAGTTTTTATCACAAAACTGAGGGTACCTGGCAATAATTTTCTGCAAATCCAACCCTTATTACTCGTTAGTGTTAAAATTTTGAATACTTTTGAATAGTGAAAACCAATGTTTAAAAGCATTAAGTTAAAATTTTGTAAAAAACTTTTTCTAAATAACTTGTAACTTTAGCGGTTTTTTATGTGAATTTCCATCATTGAAAATTTGAAATTGATCCAAACGCTAAATATAAAACGAGATCAAAATTTTCATAATGTTAAAACCAAACAATGTAGCGTAATATTTTTATTGAATAAGAGTCTGTTTGATAATATTATTAGAGATCAGTGTAAGCGTTTCGAAAAGACTATATATCTACAATCAACGTTTAGCGCTAGCGTTTTCAAAGTAATCTACACCGCTAAAATTTTATTTAAAAACACTAACACTAATCACTTATGCTATTCTCAAACAAATTCTAAATAATTATTTGTTATTTACCAAAGCATAAAAAAATCATTTTCAAATAGCCCATGAAAGAAAAGGAGAAAGAAAAGGAGATGACAATAAGCAAATTACCAAAAAAGGCATGGAAGTAGAACATGTGGGAGTAGCCAAGAATCTGCAGAAACCCATTAAGTATTTGTTGATACTACTGATAAATATGCAGTGCTTATTTGTGGTACAAACAGCCCAATATTTTCAATGCCCTTTTTTGACTTTTACCACTTCAAATCCTCTCACTGACATTTTTTTGTACCACAACTATCAAAGTGTGAGCTAGCTATGGACCATCTGACCTATACGGTAAAAAAATTAATTAACTCACTATGTAACAAACTTCATTTTTTACCATTTCCGTCTTATTACATTTGTCCAGTTTGATTTTTTCGAATGAAAAAAATAAGTACTAGATTCCAGTTAAATAAAATCTAAAATGTATATTAATAATCCGAAGCTGATGATTTCAAAATGAAGATGGCTCGAACCGAATAAAATCGATTTTTTTGCCAACTACTTGTCTTCATAACGCAAACTTAAAACGTCAATAACCAAGTGACCCGCGACCAGCACTCATGTCAAACCCGACCCTGCCCGAATCCTGTCATCTGAAGTCACGCCAAATTTCAGATCCAATCTAACCCAAATACGAATCGAATAATCTGTTTACCGGGTGTGAAAAAAGAAGAAGAGTAATTTGGTGGGGGTGGGGGTGGGGGTGGGGGTAGTAGAAAGTAGTTGGGTTGGTATAGGTCAGCCAAAAAGAGGACACATAAACATAGGAGAGAGAGAGAGTAAATGTAAATGCAAGAAAAGGAAGACCGCTCATTCCCAACCCCACCTTCTCCTGCCTAACGTTATACGGCACTTCCTTTGTCATGTTCCCTCTCTTTTTGCATTTTGGTCTCTTCTTCATATTTTTTTTTTAAAAAAAATTGATTTGATTTTTCTTTTTTGTTCTGGTACTGTTTGGAAATAGCGCTAGCGATTATCGTTAGCATTTCGAAAAGGATATCTACGATATTGTTTAGCGTTAGCATTTTCAAAGTTATCTGCACCATTAAAATTTCATACAAAACGCTAATGCTAATCTCTAACGCTATTCTCAAATAGACCATCTGTCTCAAATAATTTATTCCTTGTACAATAAGTAATTGTTTATTATGTGTGCATCAAGTCATCAATTATTCCGTAACGAAGGCTTTGTGAGCCAAAATAAGTCTCACTCAAACATTGTGGACGCACACTTATGCATGTCGAATGCAATATAAAAGTTAAGATATGCGTCTTTTCAAAGAGCAATTGATTTTTAAAAAATTGGTAGCGCCTAAGATTCTACACTAGTTTTACATCTCCAAAAATGGTACTTATAACGTAACATACGGAGTACTTTATAAGTAGAAAATGTTTAGTACACATACGTAGCGTATCCGCATGTCGAATGTTTGATATGCATAGTAAGCCATATTTTATTAATAGGACACAATTTAAACATGAAGTAAAGTTACGTCAAGTCTACCTACCCCCTCAAACCACCTACTCTAAACTAGGGTAGGGGCACAAGACTAGGGTAGGGGTGTAAATGTCGTGAAGGTTTGTGGGGGAGTGGGCAGGGAAGACAAAAATCGTCAATTTTACTAATGAGAGATTTTAAATGATCAAATCAAGTTTGGATCGTGAAATAATAAATTTGGAATGATGTAACTCTACAATGCTTCTAACGAAACTAAATGCTCCCTCCTGTCCAAAAAGCTTTTAATGTTTTATGTTTTTTAATCAAACAATGATACTCTTCGGCTGCAAATTAAACATGATTTAAATAAATAATTGTTATGAAAATTTGATATATCAAAACTATATCGTAAGATGAATTCACTTATATTGAACTTATAATTTATAAAGTATTTTTATATATTTTTTTTACAATTTATAATTAAAGAGTTTGAGTGTTTGATTAAAAAAATCAAAACAAGAAACTAGTTTAAAGTTATTGTGAAACAAGAACATTATAGACCCACTACTTCCATCCCCATCTCTCTAATCTCTATCTCTACTTGACTTTTCTCTCTCTATCTGCAAAGACAGCAGTCAACCACAAAGAAAAGCAATCAACCAGGAAAACAAGAAGAAAAAAGAAAAAAGAAAAAGAAACAACCCCACTACTTGAATTGAATTCCACTTGTGTTCTGGAAAAAGAAAAAGGAAAAAGATCCAATTTTTCCAAGTCTTTCTCACTCTCTCTCTCTCTAGGCTTTCAGTCTAGGGTTATTTCTTTCATTTCAGCCCCCAATTGGAGACAGGAAAATTTACAAGAAATACTCCTCGAAAAAGAATTGTTTTTTGTTTCTTCGTGTTTTTCTGTAATCCAAGAAAGAAAAAAAATGGATTTTCTTGATGCAAACAGAACCGCCCATGGCGGCGGCGGGACTGGCAGTTCCGACCAACGCCGTCCAACCACCCATGAACAGACGCCGCCGCCGGCATCTTCGCTCCAACTGGTCCCAATCCAAAGTCAACCCGACCCGGATGTGTCTGGGTCCGGCAAGGCCCCATCGGATCGGTTTTTGGGGTCCATTATTTCGAGACCCGCTCCGGCTTCAACTGCCAACGACTCTGTTACGGCCAAGGCGGCGAAGAAGCCCTCCAAGGACCGCCACACGAAGGTGGACGGCCGTGGGCGGCGGATTCGCATGCCGGCCTTGTGCGCCGCCCGGGTGTTTCAGCTGACGAGAGAGTTGGGCCACAAATCCGACGGGGAGACCATAGAGTGGCTGCTGCAGCAATCGGAGCCGGCAATAATTGCCGCCACCGGCACCGGAACAATCCCGGCCAATTTCTCGACCCTCAACGTGCCCCTCCGCAGCAGCGGCGGGACGATTTCGGCTCCGCCGTCCAAGTCCGGTCCGCTATTCATCCACGGCGGAGCCACCGCGATGTTAGGATTCCACCACCAGCTCTCCAGCGCAGGGTACGGGCACGACCCGGAGGAGAATTTCATGAAGAAGAGGCTGAGAGAAGAAAACGGCGGCGCATCCCCGCCGCCGGCCAAACAAGAAAGAACCGGACTTCAAATCCACAACGAACCGGGTTCCGACTCAGTCCCAGGCTCATCCCAACCCACATCTAGCTACATCCCGGCGCCAGCCGCCATGTGGGCGGTCGCCCCGGCCGCCGGAAACATCGGCAACGCATTCTGGATGCTCCCCGTCAGCAGCGCCGGAGCAACATCCGCCGCCGCGGCACACCAAGAGCAGCAGCAAGCGTGGCAGTACAACAAGGGAACAGGGCTGCAGAGGATCAGCGGGTTCGAGTTTCCAGGATCCAGCCGGTTCAACCCGGTTCAGCTGGGTTCAATGGTTTTGCAGCAGCAGCAGCCGGTTCAACAGCTAGGGCTTGGAATCTCAGAGACTAACATGGGAATGCTGGCCTCCATTAATGAATATAATGGAAATAGGATTGATTTGGGGATGAATTTACATCACCACCACCAACATCATCATCATCATCACCATGGCAATCAATCACAAACAAGTGAAAGTGGAGATGACAATCCTACATCCTCTCAATAGTCTCAAGAATTGTTTGAAGGAAAACGGTTGACCATTGACCTCATTGACATCAGCTAACAAACTAAAAAAAGTTACCTTTTTTAGTCGGTCAACTGATGTCGTCAGGGCAATGATCAACGCTACACTTGTTTGAACAAACAAATTTGTTCATTTCAAGATCTTTATTTTTTATTTTTTTGGATGATTATGGTAGTGGGATTAGGTTAAGAATGTGGGGTTTTGTTTGATGTATAAGTGCCCTATCTTTTGGGATGGTTTGTAAGAGATAAGAAGATAGGGTGGGTGGTGGTTCATGGAAGAATCAATCATGTGTGTGTCTTTAGAGTCAATGTTTTGGTTTCTCTTATCATCAAAAGACAATGAATTCCAAGTGTACATAATGGAAGAATTGTTTGTTTCTTCTTCTTTTTTTTTGGTAAGAAAAATGCAATTTTAACTTAGTTTATAGCAAACATTCAAGGTTGATTATCATTTTGTTTGTCTAACTTGCAACCATCAATTTTTTTACTAAGAATATATTGAGTCTTATTATTTTTGAATTTTCAAGATATGATCTTGATGTGGTTAAAGGTGTAATGGTGGAACTTTAAGGGGGCATTTGGTTTGAACCAATTGAGATTCCCCTAAGTATCTTTACCAAGATATAGAGTAATACGGAGTAAAACATTTCTGCGGAAGGGTATAGAGTTAACAAACAATACTCAACTAAAATTATTTTTAATTTAATTTATTTGAGTATTAGTATAAAAATAAATATAAAATCTTTTATGTTTAAAAATTAAAGAGTTTTTTAAAAATAATATGACATTAGAATTTTATAATAGGTGATGAAGATTAACAAAGAAAGATTGAAGATTAAATAATAGATGAACAATAACTTTTTTGGGGAGGCAATGGAGTATTATATATTGTTGTCCAGTTCACAAAATTGTACTCACTCCATTTCACAAAAAAGGTCCACAATGAACTTCACAATTATTACGAAAATTGAAATCATACCATTGAAAATAATACCCGTACAAAAGAGAGATATAATATGAGCCATAAAAAAATTTCGAAACTGAAATTTTTCAAGACAAATGAAAAAAATTTGAACATTTTTTATGAGACGGATGGAGTATTTTAGCAGATGAGTTTTGAATTCATTTTTAATTCATTGTTGCTGACATGCCAGCTAAAACAGGTACCATAGAAATAATTGCCAAAAAAGATGTTGGTATGTGACACCCATGCTGTATAGACAGTCTTATTATTATTGATTGAGGAAGCTGCAAAACAAAGATGTAGTTCTATTCAACATTCCAATCAGGATCATAATTAACCATTATAATCCTAATGATGATCAAAAGAACAAACAAGACATACCAGCTATGACAGGTACCCAAAGGGATTTCAACAACCAGAAAAAAAATTGAAGAAGAAAGAAGCGAAGGGGTCGTCCGTTATTTCATAGATATGGCGCCGCCGGATCTATGCTGAGGCGGTCTTCTTCTGCTGGAAAATGACAGCCCAAACGGGAACGCCGACACCAATGCTAAAGGCAGTAAGCACGCCGAGGCTCATCTTCAGCTTTTGATGCTTCATCCTATCCAAGTTGTACATGTGCTTCGCATGAATGTAGAATGGCTCGTCATGGCCATGGGCATGCCCTCCTCCCATGTTCTTCACACTTGTTGAGTGGATTCTTCTGTTCGCTGCAAGAAATCAATAGTTTCCATAAGTTCTGATTGGTAGAGGTTAAGCATGGCAATGGCGTGTGAAAATTCATACAAGGTGTTTTGTTTATCTGAACCGGTTTGTTGACTAACATTACTTACAATATTAACCATTGTTTGGATTATTACATCCACTTTGATTTAGAAAACATCTTGGATCATTAACTGTATGTTCTACAAACAAACAAAGTAATTTTAAGGTGTAGTCACTAATCCCCCAAAATTAAAAAAAGTAAGTTGAGACATAACTAAACTTTGTTGAATCCCCCATACTGCAAGGATGACCAATGGGCCATCGTATTGCAAAGGTTTTCAAAAAAATGACCACTGCATCAGTCAAAAGCATTTCATTATATCCTTTCAATTACAATTTACAAGGTCACCAATGCACTATAGGTGGATCTGGGTGCTTAGTTTATAGAGAAAATCGAGGAATCACTACCTTTTGCATGTCATATGAAGTATAAAAAGAGGTTCATTTAACTTAAGAATATTTGATGTCAGTGCATTCACAAATGTCTTGCTTAACTTCTATAAAAACAGTTGTACAATTACTTAGTAGCTAATTTGGTGGCCAGAAATTAATCAGCAGGGATTGGATTGTTAAGAATTGACTGATTAGCAATTATGTACAATATAAAAGCATGTTGGAAGCTACAATCATCACCTGATTCATGGGATTACTCAAAGTTCATAAAACCAGGAATTCCCTGATTTCATGTTTTCCAAATGCAAATATGGGTATCACATCCTATTCAGGAGAGCAAGGAATTTCACAAGAATCACACACCAATAATGGATGGAATTTTTTCCCCATAGAGTTTTTCCTCTAAATTTGAGAAGTATTTTCAACCGCTCAATAAAATGATAAACGTAGGCCCTACATAGGACTCAAATTTCACCTCAACTATGTAAATCGGAGTTTGGACCCAATTTATTCATCAACGATATAAATTACCCTTCTTATATAGAGAAATTTATGCATCAAGCCAAATTTGGGTTGAAATTGCACAGTTGAAGATGAACATGAGCCCAAAACAGTGTCAAAGACCAAATTGAGTGGTGATCTATAGCCAAGGAGCTAAATCAGGCATTTACATCATTACAATGAGGCCTTGCCGTTAGACTACTAGAGATGTCCCTTGCAATATAGCATGCAAAAAAAACTATAGAAGGAAAATGGGGATGGAGGGAGGGTGTGGGGGTGTGGACCTAAGTTGAACGAAGACGGGGACGAGGTTGGGAATTGGAAAAGACCACCATCTTCGAGGATGTTTCGAGGACCTTATTTGAATGTGGCCATAGTAGTACCGTGGACACACATTTACTGAGATAAAAAAAATACTGGTAACAGGCTTTGGCAACAATTAACTTCATTGGATGCAATGTCAAACAGTGAAAGTAATTTTCAGACCCCAACTAGAGAGTAGAGACAAAAGCATCACAAAGACAGAACAGTATCAAGTAAAAGCTTTTCATTCAACAGAACACAGGCCCACAACTCACAATTGACGTTTCTGCTGTTAAACAAGTCCAAAACAAGTTTTTGATGATGATACATGCTTAACAGCACAACACGGCCAGAAGATCCATACGGAGCCATACACATTTAGCATAACATGAAAGATGAAAGATCAACATATTAAACAATAGGTTTTCAATATAATAAGCTAAAAAAATATCAAATTTTTTGCTAATCAAGAGTATATATGAAAAAAGTGAAACCTAACCTATCCTAAAGAAGATTCCACTACTCCCTCCACTCTAATCCTAAACCAGTAAGTGATTGAGCTGATAGTAATTCAACTGGAATCGGCCCATTAATCGATATCTCTGTTGCACGGCTTCTTCAAATAAGTATCCCTACCACTCCTACCAGTCCCCGAAACATCCCTGTTTGAGTACTGGGGACGTCCAGACAACCAAATCCTATATAAAATTTGGAAAAGTAGGTGTTTACACGTTTTCGACCCCATCTACTGCAACTTAGATTGATATTGCGCACACATTCCCTATTATTTCCATTTTTTTAAGCAGCAAAAATTCACACAGGGCATTTTATTCTTTCCAATCAACTGCAATTTCGGAAATGGGATTTCACAATTTCGATTGAATCTAAATATCAGCTCACTAATCCATTCAACTTCTAATCTCACAGAAACAGAGCGTATCAAATCAGCACCAAATCCTCACACCGACAGATAAAGCGCGATTAAACAGTTAATAACAAATCCATCAACGAAAAGCTGAGAAGTAATCCGAAGGAGGAAGAAAAGACATACCGGTCTTGGAGAGAAATGAATCGGCGGACGCAAGGAGCTTGGAGGCAGAGGTTCTTAATGCGTTGTTCATAGCCATCTTCGACCTTCTTCCCCGGAGGAAATCTCTTGCTCGGAGCAGATCTCGATCGGTCAGGTCAGCGCGAAGGGAACTTTTCCGGCGTCTAATGGCTCTCCGCCCAAATCGTACGCATTATAATACTTGGGGAATTGGGCTCCGGGCCTGGATTTCGTACTTTTTAATGGGCCAGTCCTCTAAAACATTTTACTAGCATTTCAAAAAAAAAGATGAGCTCCATCCCGAGGTTGCCTTTATACTCGGTCGGGCGGTCACTGAGAAGAGATAAATTAAATTTTAATTGTAGATTATTACTAGCCAGCATTTCATTTTCTAGATATATTTTTATGAAAAAGATATGGAAGTTCATTTTCGATTGACGCTAAAATCTATCATAGAAGAGTCTTTTCAAAATGATTTTAATGCTAACTTCTAAGTGTGTAAGAGCATCTCCAACCACATTTGCTAAACATGGCTTGCTAAAGTCATTTTTTAGCATGTGAATAGTGGTATAGCAAGCCATTTTGCATTGTCATCTCCAACCTTCTCTTGCTATAATTTAACTAAGAGTTATATTATATTGCTTTCACTATTATAATACTCTTTATAATAATTATTCAATTATTATTTATATTATAAAAATTAAGCAATAAGTATGTAATTTAAAAATATAATTTCAAAAAACAATATGGAGTAATATTTTACTTTAAAGAAAATAATAAAATTTACATAGCATTATTTTAAATATTTAATAAATTCCAATTAAAGATTAGAGGAAAAAAACTTTACAAAAAGTAAAAAAATAGAGAGTAGAAGTAACCAAATATTCTGAGAAGGGAAATCAAAGAAATATCAAATATTTAATCAATATCATGGTTTGCTATATTTTGAGAGGCTTGCTATGTATAGCAAGCCAAAGTTAGAATTTACCAAGGGTGCTATAATATAGCAAGACCCTTGGAGCACAAAAATTGAAGTAGATTGCCAAATAATGACATTTAACAAGCCAAAACTCAATGGTTGGAGATGCTCTAATACGGAGTAATAACGAAAACAATAAGATGAAAAAGTGTTAACTTATTTTAAGACAAACCAAAATAGAACGTTACAAATTTTTTTAGAAAGAGGTCGTAATGTTTTGAAAAGTATTTTAAAAATGTATTTGGTGATCAAAAGAAATATGAGTTTTGATATCTTCAGATATCATAAATTTTCCAAATAGAGAGTTTCGATATCTCCAGAATTATAGAGTTATCAATCAATATGGGAACTATCAATTGTTGATCATTCTCCACGACCAAATAATATTTACACAGCCAACCAATGCCGAAAACCCCACATATCACTAATTAAATCATGATTTTAAATCTCTTCAAACGATTTTGTTTCAAATTTCAAAACTCATATCATTTCTCCCACATTTCAAAATCCATATCTTATCATACTTCCAAAACTCACCAAACAGGCCCGAAATAACTTCTTAAAGAACAAAAGAAATTTTGAGTTATACTCTTAGAATAATTTTTTAACATGTAGTTTAAAAAATAACGGCCACACTTTGGCAAGGAATCTCAAAATAATCCCCTTTTTAGAACTAACAATATACTACTACTCCATAATATGCTTTGCATTATCACAACTTTGTGAGTGTCATCAAAAATGGGCAAAAGAGTCTAAACCCTGCAAAGCAAAAGACCCCAAAAAAGAAAAATAAAAAAGAAAAAAGAAAGAGCTAATGCACACTTCTAACACAAACAAAGCATCAGCACCATCCAAACTAAAAACATAAGAGGTTAAGGAATTTGATTTTGAGTGCAACTTTTTTTACATGTAGGCTCGTGGCACACAGCCCCTGTTGATTTCCGCTAGCTAGCGTAGGGACAAAGACGGCGCCATGGTTTGCCTGAAATCCAAAGATTTGAGGGGCGTGCCCGGGAACTTACCCCCGGGGATCCACAAGTCCCCTTTGTGAGGGAGTATCACTTGTGGTTGATTGGGCATTGTGGGGGCCTCCCCACACCCCGGTGTCGTAGCATCGGTCACCTCTTTCTTTTTCTTCACAAATTGGAAGAACTCGGCTACTTGGCGCGCATACCTAGGCACAATGCATCATGAAAACCGGTTAACGATCAACCAAAGTTCTAACATTCTACACAATGCAAAGAACAACGACGAACTCAGTAGAGTCCCACAAAATTAGGGTCTGGAAAGGGTGTGTGTACACTGGCCTTACTCCTACTTCGAAGTAGAGAGATTGTTTCCAAGAGACCCTCAGCTCAAAAAAAGACACAGACAAAGTAAACGCGATGGCCCAAAGAAAGCAAGAGCTAAATAGGCACACAAAGACAACATTTTATGGAATGCATTGTTGGTAAAATGGATGTTCCTAAACGCAAATAAGCATGGAAGGGTAAAATGCATTCTACGGATGTTCCTACGGAAGGGTAACTTAGACAATTCGCAACATTTTCGGCCACTTCAAGCATGGAAGGGTAAAATGCATTCTACGGATGTTCTAACAAATGATCAATGAAAATTTATAATGAAATAAGATATAATTTGACCCTATCAACAGTAACTTAGAAGGTGATTTTAGAACAAAGGGAGTAGTAACTAGTAACTATTGCACAACTTTGTAAAAAATTAAAAACATTTGAAGGGAAAGCACAATGAGATTAAAAAAGTGTTTGGTGAAACGGAACCTTCCAAACGAGGCTATTCTCAATATTAACAATACATGAAGAACAAAAAACGAGGAGCAAGATACATACTGTTTCTTTGCTTCAATATCTTTGGTGTAATCGATGTTGGGTTCACAATCAAGAATCAAAGCAGGAACCTGTTCACAATTAATCAAGAATGTAATGATATTATGTTTATATCATAACTCAATGCACTTTTTTTCCATATTCCACAGTCAAAGTGCATAATGTTTGACCAAGAAAGTCAAACGATGAGAAAGATATTCAAGAAAAACATTAATAACAACGAACCCAGTAAAACCGCACAAAAGTAAACACGGACAGAAAAAAAGTACCTTTTGGATGCTCGGATGCATGTGATTTCCCTCCAAATAAAACACCCTATCGCTGATATCGGGAGACAAGGAGTTGTCTATGCTTTGTGTGGGTTTGATAACGGACAACACCCCATGATTCCCACTCTCGAAAGGGAAAAGCCAATTCTCGTGTTTTTCATGCAAGCCTTGTAAATATTCGAGTGAGACCCCACCCTCCTCAGACCTCTTGCGCAGCATCATTCTCTTGTGGCAAGTGTCTGGGCTTGCCCGCAGATAGATGAACCCGTCGGGTATAAGTCCGGGCAAACTTGAAAGCACCGGATCAAACCATGAGTCGTATATGCTTATCTCCATCTCGTTCATCCACTTCGCTTCGTGGACAGCCCTTACAAAGACCTTCATTGAGTCAAAACAAAGTGCACTATGCAGTCAATTCTTTGAAGTTACTACAACCATTAATTGAATAATGGTGTTGTTAAATCCACTCCTTTTTTGGATAAATCCACCCCTTTTATACGAAATGGACATTCGTGTCCTTAAAAGATGAGAAAGTGACATATTTAGGCTAAATTTGACAATGGACATAAGAATCATCAAGCAAACGATTCACAAAGAAAATGGCTCAATGAAAGCATTAAGAAGCGGGTTGTACCATACGATCACTAAAAACACTTCTTTCCATTAACCTCAGAGGCCTGATACCGGACGACGATTCCCTCTCTTGCATCAATCTTGTCACAAAAACATAGTTCTGGAAGGTATACGCGTATCTTTCTGGCTCGGCATAGAAGGCGTCTAATATGTTGAAATGATCGGGACCCACATTCTGCCACTTGTCAACAGGCTCCGGAACAATCTCGACAAGATCTTGCAACTCCAGCGTTTCGTTTGCTATCCTTTGCAGAAAAGTTGTTTTGCCGACACTTATGTTTCCCTCCACACAAAAAGTGATGCGTTTCTTTTGTGTCACCTTTGGAGCAGAAATAGAGTCCTCTTTTGTCTCGTCTTCGTCTACACTTTGCTTGATGAATGTTGTGATACTCTCTGCATGGTTTTTATGGACTATCCCCACGGAACTCTGTAAAAACTCTACCATCTTCTCACTTTGCTTCCCATAGAACTACACAGCTACGATATTCTCATTAGTATGGTAAAATTAGTATGATAAAATTACACATATATCCACATTCTACAAGTATAAACAATCTTTCTAAACTACTCCGTACATAGCATACATGCACTCAACAAAGCAAAGCAATGTGTAAGAATGATACAAAAAAAAATTCCAAAACAAAGCCTATATCAGTTTTAGGGCTCATTTGATTTCACTTCTTTTTCGGCTGGTTTTGGAAACTCAAACCTAAATCAGTTTCAGCCTTCAGGGCTCATTTGACTTCACTTCTTTTTTGGTTGGGTCTTCCCTTCACTATTTTTCTTTTTTACACTTTCTTTTTTATCAATTTCATATATTTTGTCATCATTTTCACATCATCCAAACAAGAATACTTTTTCTTTCATTTTCTTTCCTATCATTTTATTTCCTCACATTTCTTCTCCTAATCCAAACAAAGGGTAAAACATACCTTTCCTATCAGAATGATTTTAGGCATTATGTTTAAAGTGTAATTTTGAGCATACCTTGTCTCTGTACAGCTGCTTGAGTTGAGAGACACCCTCAAAACCATTCTTCACCAGCTTCTGGAAATTTCTAGGCCCCACGCCGGGAATTGTCAGCAAATCAGGAGCTCCGGCCAACCCTCTCTCTGGGGCATCACCACCGCCCCTCTGCCTCCTCTGCAACCTCGCCGCCGGCCTTTCCTCCACACCACTGCCGCTCTGCTCACCTGTCTCAACACCATTTTCCGCCCCTTTAGACCCCTCGGCAACAGTTCCCACCCACGCTCTGTGGGTCCCCCTGCTATTCTCCTGCCTCAGAGAAACCCATGACCTCGGCCGCGGGCCAGTACACTCAAGAGACAAATTACCCGAACTACACAGCCCAGCTCCGGCGGAGGAGACCACGGCTGGGTTCAGACGAGAGAGGTGATGGAAATAACGGAGGGTGGAGGCGGCCGGAGACGGAACTGTGGCCATGGGGTTAAGGGCTTGT